ATCCCAATTTTCCACCAATGAGCAGAATAAAGTTGAGAAGAGTCGTAAAAAATCAACTTCATACATAGTACTACACAATTTTAATTATGTATGTTGATAATAATATTGCACTAAGATAAAAAAAATGACTTAAAAAAGTCATAAGTGTTCAATATGACCCCCATTAACAGCTAAGAACTTGTGGATTCTAGAGATAACACCATCAGTCACCGTTTTTGTTATTTCAGCTGCAGGCAATTCATGGAACGCTCTGCGTATTCAAATCAGTCAAATCCTCTTTTGAAGCAACGGGTGTAGAATAAACATTTTGCTTTATTTCTCCCCAAACATAAAAATCTAATGGAGTGAGGTCGGGAGACCTCACTGGCCAATTCCACGGTCCTAGGCGTCTCATCCATCTATCTTCAAACATTTCAGTCAGCTGTTGATCGATTTGATTGTGACAGTGATGTTTTTTTGTGTGATATTTTGATAAAGCATATATACTGATCAAAAAAGAGTTGATATGGTTACAGTTTAGTTTTTGTCAGGAGAAAACGATGCTGTTGCAAGAAGACGATTATCAGATAGATTGTTTCTAGACCTATAAGTACATACTGAATAAGAAACTGTTCATAGTAATGGTTCAACATTTAAGAAATTACGGAAGCTTTGAACGCCAATTGGCCTGGAAACTACGTGACGTGCAGAACCAAACACCCCGTATTGCACATATGGAAAGGTAGGGCCGAAAGAAATTGTTGCAGACATAACTGAACGATTTTTTAATACACAGTCCAGTAACTTTAAAACCCCTTGTAATACCGGTAGTATTAATAAATCCGGAGCAAAAAAGAGCGAGGCATATTAAACACTTCTTAGAAAGTAACGAGTCCATTACTGGGCGTTGTGGAAAAGGCGGAGGCAACAGTGAGAGCGATTTGTGCACCGTCCATAAACCGTGTCTTGGAATTATGAAATTGAGACAGATAAGTACAATAATGAAAACGGACAAACATGGGTATTATGCATTAAGTACTTAGTTATTAGCTCAACCAGAGTATGCGCTGCTTATTGGGATATTTGTAACGATGTTGCAAGACCAAGCGAGCAATTCACAGGAAATAGTTTGTATTAAGTAGAGTGGTATTCCATTTTACCAAATTTTCACTCTCCAGAACTGTATAAGTTTTAGAAATGTCTACATTATTTACAGATCAAATATTAACTTTTAATACACGTATCTTTATCATTATCGATCAAATATAATTAATTTTTTCCAAATCTATCATCAAAAGTCGAATTTTCGTTAAATTTTCAACTGACAAAGTAAGCCGATATTGCAGTAAGTTAAATTTGTGTCAGATCTAATGTTGTCAGTTATCGTAGCTTTTAGTTATGTGTGTTCCAAGGCATGATGACAGATTTTGGAAAACTGTTCTATGATATTCTAAAGTATTTACTATGCCCAAAAAATATATTATTTCTATAGAAAATAAAAGGTTTAGTAGAAAAATATTGACATTTTAATTTTAAGTCTAAACTCATGCAAAAGCGGTCGCCGGTGTCATGGCGTCTACGTGACGTCACATCTATATTTGTCAACAGTAAACATAAGGCGCCAATATTTTGTGTTGCAAGATTCATTAGTTAACTAAAAATACAAAGTAACCATAATAGTATATGAATTTTATTTACCCTCAAATTGTACTTTGGTGTAATAATGGATGAACATTATCTTTCCATGAAGAGACTAAAATATTAAGAAAATCCGATACAAAATGTAAGATTAATTATTTCTACTTTTTCATTTGTACTGTAGTTGCAATCAGCTATACCGAAATAGCCCTTTTGAAGCCCTCTTTAATACATTTGTAGCTGCCATCTGCACTTATAAAACATCTGGGTCGGTTTTCCTTTTTCCACATAATTTTTAAAAGTCTACATATTCGTGTTACATTTAATTTCAATAATGCTGTCTTCACAGATTCTATCAGGTGGTCCTGCTATTGTGGGATAGTTTTTGCAAAGCATTATACCACATTTTTTAAATTTTTTCCCCAAGCTGGTATATACAGTTTTCCTCACTTCATCCTCCAACATTCTATCGCGTTTCATAGCTGATGCGTCTGAGATTTTTCCTCCCATTATTATTATTAACGTGATCAGAGCTGCATCATTGGTTTTGCACCGACTAAATTGAAACGCTCGTGATACCGTCACTCTGCCATATCTTAACTCATGCCAAAAACAGTTCGTTGTTGGTCTCGTCTCTTCTCCAACTTTCTTTGTGACCTTCAAAAATCAATACCTACGAATTTTTTCAAAAATGTGTCGCAGGACTGTTCTTTGTATTTCAGCACCAGTTTATGCATGGATAAACTTCTGATCGAAAACATAGTCTTTTTGATATTTTATTAACTCGCAGTTGTTGAGCTTTATTTTCCTTCCTTCTTTTAGAAACTTTTCAAGTACCTAACGTTTCCTGATTATAATTTTGATAACACAAAACTAAGCAACTGATGGTTGGGTAACGTAAAATATTTAAACGAAGATAAGTAGTGCGGCTATTGGCGAAGTCCACATGACACAAAATGACATTTACATAGATGTGACGTAATTCGCTCTGATTGGTGTTCAACCTATCATGGCGGTTTGCTGTATTTTGTAGTTTTATTTTATCAAAAATATTATCAATCTCGCTCATAATATAAAAATAAATACGTTTTTTATAATTCATTAGATAAATACATAATTTTAATGATTTAGTTACTGCCATCATGCCTTGTATTAATTTTATTTACCTTTTCTAGCAAAAATCTATTATCGGGCGCTTCTTGTAAATTTCTCAATTTCCTTTTTTGTATTCAACTGATTTGCTTTTCAAATACGGTATTAGTTTTGGAAATTTTCTGATATTTACATTTCTTTGGTATTGGACTTTTTACATTTATATCTTAAAAACTGTATTTCGGCATAATTGATTAAATAACTCATTTAATTATAATAAATTCACATAAATTCCGGCTATTGAAGTGTGAATATACAACGAAATGAAACCAGATTTGCTTTAGTAGAAAGGAATAGGTGTTCTCGTTACATGAATTTTAGATACAAAGCGTAAAATCGATAAAATTTAGAAATATCTACTTAAATTACTATTTTTATACGAATAAATACAGATATGTGAAGGGAATCAATTTTAACTTATTTATTTAATTTGCCAACTTATTTCTACACAAAAGCCGAACCTCTGTTACGACCTTAATTTTAATTTTTTTAAGCAATTTTTTCCTCGCACCTTTAAAATTAAGAACCCGTAGCTAATAATTCTATTATTAGATTTTCCAAAATTACCCAGACGATCATTGACCATTCTTACTTTCATTTGGCGTATAGCGGCTCCCTGAATATTAATTATTACAGAGTGGATCTGTTGGAGAACATTCAAGGTTTGGAAAAACCAATTAACAAAATAAATCATCAGATTTAGGAATTGCTTAACGTTTGTTTAAACAGCGCTTTGCAAAGGAAGCGACAGTGACAGAAGATAATACAATATCAGTGCCAAATATTTCAGTGCCAAATCTGGAAAATCCATGTATTTTTGTCTCAAGAGGCTTAGTTTTTAAAACAGGGCATCAAAAGCAATTTTTGCGTCTCGATTTTGTACTGGTACTACAAAAATTATCGTTCAGAGCTTGCCAGAAAAAATAATGCGATGGATTTAAATCGGGTGAACGAGGTGGCCAACCTAGTCGGCCAACACAATGATTTTCTTTTCATTATATATAAGTGGTAACCATTTGAGCCAACACTGTGTACAATTCTCATTCAACCTCTAATATTTTTATGGAAAATCTCAGTGTTGTAATTTTTTACATAAAAATAAGAACCCGCACCTTAGCTGTATGCTGCTGATTAAAGTGATAGGAACATCTCGAAAGCTAAGCTTCCTGAAACAGTTTATACAGCAAAGCTAGATCTATTTCTGTGGTTTCAGAATTTATAGTGAAATCACGCTGTTAATCAAGGTTTAAAGTATCATCCTTTTATGGCAACCTACATTTTGTACTATTCCTCAAATCATTAACGAATTGTCACGTTGTAGGATAATATTTAAATTGCCAGTATCTCGTAATAATCGTTTCCTAGATTAAATTAATTTTGTTACGTAACAACATTTTTCAATAAAAGGAGAAAGTAAGATGAATTTATTAAATTTCTAAAGTTTACAGTTTTTATTCAGTATTGTGCCTGTTTTTTTTTAGACGAGCGGGGGGTGTAACATTTTTGCATTCGTCCTGAATAGATTTTAAATTGCAATCCACAGTTTCGTCTGTACATATCAATACCATTGCTCTACTAGCAAATAGATGGCGTTAATGCTATTTTGTAGTGATTGCTATAGTAAGGAGTCGCCATTTTATATTTAATTTAAATTTTATATTTTGTAATTTAATAAACCTCGCTAGAAATGATCGAAAACAGCAGTCATGTTAACCGCAATGTGAAAAATTAAATTTGCGGTTAGTTTTTAAACTAATGGCACTCTTTTAGGCAGCAGTATTTTCAGAATTTATTTGTGGTTACCTAACTTAGGTAATGACATATTTTCAGCACGATATTTGGCAACAAATTTGATAATGTTTGCCGGAAATAAGTAAATAGGTACTTTCATTTTATAATTCTGTGGCATTATTTTACTTCGAATTTCTTCATTAACTACTTCAATTTTTTTTAACAGTACAAACCAACATTATTGCTTAAAGGGCGACGAAAACTACTATTGAAAATTAGGTCTACATGTTTCTCTTAACGAAAGGATTACTTAGAATATGAATTTCTCCTAACCTTCGAAAAAATTAATCGTCTATTTTTAACCAACACAATGATGTCTTTTTAATTTAAACTCTTTTAGAAAACACATTTTAACAAATATTACGAATTACGATATGATGTGTCCCTTTGGCGTTTTTTTTTCTATCTTGTGTAATCAATCAATTGTCTACTGATTTTAGGAAGGGAGCATTGGATCTCAACTAGTAATACGCCCCCTTCCAGCGCGCCTGCGGGGAACTCTGAAACCAGCCAATAACCAAAGTATCGTGGAGGGTGCGTCCACGAACGACGACGAAATGTTCCTGGATCAGGATGGAGAGCTGAGCGCCGAAGTTGCCATCGATACAGGACTGCCAATAAAAAGGAACAAAGAGGCCACTCAACACCACATCGTCTACAAGAGGAAAGACAAGGACCACGAGGACAATTACAGTGATTACGGTAAGTGTAAACTGTGATTATAGTTGGATTGTACAGGGTGATCGAGAATGATTGACCGTGCCGCCTCATACTGATTTTTGATGTGCGGCATACCAGTTTTTGATACCAATACCAATACTAGAATCATGAGCGCAGGTTGAGGGATTTTAATGGTGAACAAATAATTACGTTCAAACGTCAAATAAATTAGGTTACTGTCAAAATGGAAATTCATAATAAAAATATCAATTATTTAACAAAAATCAAAGTTATTTCACAAATTAAGCAATACTGTTGGACCAATAATTTTTATTATTGTTATTATTATTAAAGAGGATGACAGATTCAAATGTAGGTTTAGCCTAACTTTTCCAAAATTCTTATTTCATTTACAATTAGAAAAACGTTTAAATCAAAGTTTGATGTAGCTAATTTTGAATAACGACTGTAAGTGCTTCAGCGATTTTATTTTTAAAACGTTTTGAGTTAATTTTAAAACAGAAGCACTATTGTGGCTACATTCTTGGCATCTAAGACGATTCAGCTATACAGCGATACGCTGCAAGCTGCTGTTTTTCATCAAAGCAAACTGCTGTATGCTTATAAGACGACTATTTTGCAGCTACTGCTTTCACACTTCTGAATATCCAGCGCAAGCGATCCAGCCCAAAAATTTATGCTGAACATTTTAGTTAGCTGTCGAAATTCAGGAAAAGTGTCTTAAAAAAATTTGCTTCAAGCAAATGCAAGCAGTTGGAAGTGCTTGATTATGTTAGATGGTAGGATTGTCTGTATGACCGAGAGCAATAAACAACAGTTACATGCAATATATAATAACAGAGTAATTGGAATTTTTTCACATTTTATTGAATATTTTACCTTAAAATTACATAAAATCCATAAAAATATCTATATTTTTACAATAAATGTTCAATATGATGTCCATTGTTGTTCAAGCAGGTATTAATTCTTCTTNGAAACAACAGTGCCGTAATTTGAGGATAGTCTTACATAGGATCAAATACAAACAACATAAATGGCTTTACATTTGGCCTTGAACTGAACTTAAACCAGATCTGATCGAGTCAAACGAATACCGGATTCGGATTCGGCGACTCCAAAAACGTATAGATACGTAGGTTTAGTTTGTTGGCAATTGATCTTCTACATTTGACCTTGAACTGACCTTAAACCAGAGCTAATCGTGTCAAACGGACACCGCATTCGGATTCAACGACCCCAAAACTATACGGATACCGTGGTCTTGTCTTTTAGACCTGCCACTTTTTTTTTGTGGGGCTGTGTAATTATCGTGGATATTTCCTTCTCAATGTCAACTAATGCTAACCCTGGAGCAACGAATTTATCTTTAATGTTATGGAATCAGTAATGTTTCATATTGATATGCAATACAAATTTTTAATGAAAACATCCAAATGTAACTGTAACTCGTAGAGCAGTTCGGAAGCTAATTATAAAATTCGATACCACTGGTGATGTAAAAAATATTAAAAAGATAACAAAAGAATACAATGATAACGATGCTGCTACTGTTGTAGTTATGGGAAAGGTCATATTCAAAGAATTTTAGTATACAACATAATCTATTAATTCAAACCAGTGTTTAATTATAAATTGCTTGATGGAGATAATGGTCGTCATTTGGACTTTTGTTTAACAATAAGCGAGAAATTGATTGAAAATAGATTTTTTCATCACAATATTTTATTTACTGACGAATCAACATTCACAACTAACTAATGGCGTGGTTTCCTCTCAAAATTGTAGATACTAGGCTAAAGATACTCCAAACTTTCTTTTGATAAGTCATAGTCAAAAATTTAAAAATGTAAATGTCTGATGTGGCACAATATATCATGAAATAATTATGAGTCCTTACTTTTTGGAAGAAAATCTTTATAGAGTTCAGGAGAAAACTAATATTTCAATAAGACGGATGCTCTGCACATTCCACACTTCTAGTGAGAAACTGGCTTGACGTTCACTTCCCTAACAAGTGGATCGAATGCTATGGACTAATAGGTAGCTTATCCTGCACAGGCACCCGACTTGTCCCCATTAGATTATTTCTTATGGGGATACCTAAAGCAAAAGTATATTCAAACGATTTTAACGATAAAATTGATTTACTTAAGCAAAAAAAATCAGGTAGCTGTTGCCACCATAAACGAATAGAAAAATGTGTATTACTTGGAGGTTATAAGAATAGGACTTGCTTCGTTGTTGTTGTTGTTGTTGTTAATTCCAGTTTTAATTTGTAATACTTCTATTTTTTAATTAGAAAAGCTACTTTTATTTGATTTGCAGACTACCATGGCAGTTGTTAATGACAACAATTTCGGGGCTGGTTGCCACGCCGTCGGTTTATGTTTCTTGACGTTTCACATTTTCAAAGTTATTGGACGCTGTATGTTTTATTGCATATTTGATTACTGTCCATTGCTTCCCAAGATAAGCAAAGCTTTTTATCAAGAATAACTTTTTCTAATATTATATTAAATATATATTATATTATATTATATTTAATAACTAAAAAAGTTGCGGTACCCCATTCGGGAATACACTGTATAGTATAATGCTCAAAACAACAAGAAAAAGATTTTTATTTTCAATTTTGTATATCCAAATAGATAAGGTTCTATTTGGTATTTTTGAATTCTTCAAAACTTATGAGAAAATCAAAATATCAGCAAAAATATATTAAAATTCAACATTATCAGACAATTTTCAAAATAGCTTTAGGAAGACATTTTCTGTTCCTTCTCAGCTCAGTATATGACGATTTTTAGGTCAGAATTCTTGACACATGCACCGATTACCGTGAAATTCCCCCCTTTTCGGGGGTGGCAATGAAGGCACCCATTTTAATCGCAAAAATCAATAGAGGAATGAATTATAAGCAAAAAATTTTCTATAACGTTTTTTCCAAGAATTAATATTTTCCGAGTTATTTGCCATTGAAAATGTTGATTTTTCATCTAAAAGTGCATGTGCATGTTTTGCAACCATTTTTGATAAATAAAAAATAAACCTTTGTTTGTTTTTTTGTAGCAGTGTAATTTTTTGTTTTTGTAATTTTTGGTTGAAACGTTGCAATAAATCATGTATTATTTCATAAACAGTAAAAAATATTCAATTCTTCAATATTGCTCCGTCAAAACAGTTCAGAGTATTTTTGTTTTTTTGCTCATAAAGGGTGAATTTTAAGGGTTGAAATGTTGCTACAAATTAAAAATAATTATTCAAAACATAAAAGAATGCTTATTCTATTGGCATAACACTTAAATCTATGGTTTTTACGTTCTTTGCAAGAAGGGGTAGTTTTCACCCTCTAAAAACAATAAGCACACATTACGGAACTTTTGTAAAGGAGGGTGAAATGAGTTTCCTCGCCAGTTTTCATTAAATATTTTTACCGTTGTATACTGGACTATTTGTATTTAAACCTCATGTTTAAAGAAAGTAAGGTAAAGTTTGGTTAATTTATCTTTGAATGATGCAAAACACTAGTGAAACTAAATTAAAATTCACCAGAATAAATATTTAACATTAGGTTACTAAGAAAGATGTATTTATTCTGTGCTTTGTCAATCTCTAGTGAAAATAAAATGTTTCATTGAATTGTGTTTGAAGGATTCAAAACTTGTGTGAAATTCAAACGATCAGTAAAATTAAACTAAAATTCAGCCGGATAAAAATAATATTCGAAACCACATTAAAAACGTAATATTTTCTGTTCTTTTTTACATCCAACGTCTGTTTAGGCGAGCGGTTCACCCCTAAAAAAAGGCATGAACCGACTAAATTTTTAAAACAAAAACCTACAGCATGAAACTTTTTTATTTTATAAAGTGTATTTTTCTGATAATTTACATATTCTTTTATATTTTTCGGCGTGGTCAGTCAGTTATAATCAAAAAAGTTGTAAAAAAAAATTCAAAGCCGAATGTCTTTGAAAGTTTTTTATTATAAAATGGACCAAAATAAACACTTTTTGTTCTTTGACAAAAATTCTAAAAATGCTTAGTTTCCGAGATATTTACAATTGAATGTGAAAAAAGTGACGAAATCGACATATTTTCGGAAATTTTTTTCTCAAAAACTATTGAACAGATTTTAATTCTAAAAAAAGCATAATAATCGGCAGATTTTCTTCTTTAATATATATTTTTTTGGTATGGATCAATCATTTTATTGAAGGTCTAAAGCGTGTAAAATAGTCTTAAAGAAAATTATGATAACACTTCAAATTTAAATTTTCTTTTTACAATATCTTGGATTAGATTATATTTACAATAAACATTATTATGATTTTTTAGTCGATATATGAACAGTACAAATGTTCAAAAGATCATTTTGTTTGGTTTTGTAGACGGAGTAAGGATTTTGCAAGTAATTAGTAAAATTTAAATATTCGATTTTTGGCTAAAATTGACTTGAAAGTTATACCAAAACTAAACTAAATAAGCTTTTTAAGTCGAAAAATTAACCTAATAATAATAATTGACCTAGCGATCTCGAAAAATAAAAAAGTTATTGGATAATTTATTTTATAGGATAATTATTTTATTTTTATTTTACAAAAATATTAAGAGCAATAAAAGTACATTAATTTCTTTTTTATTTAATTTTTAAATAATAAGTTTTTCGTTATTTTCGAGAAGTTCTTGAGCTGAAATAATCGTTTCATCATCAATTTCAGATGGAACATTCTGGATTGTACAGGTTCGATGACAAACAGTTACAATTTTTCGTAGAGCATGTTCCACTACATGAACAAATATTTTTGAAGCATATCTAACGCCATTTCTCCTTCGAAATAATTAAAATCCAAACGACCATTTTCGATTTTCCTTCCATGTGTCATTGGATCTAGAGTTACAATTTCACTATTTGTAGACTGCTTTTTTTACTCGCTTCAGACCTTCAATAAAATAATTGACCTATACCAAAAAAATATATCTTAAAGTAGAAAATCTGCCGATTATTATGCTTTTTTAGAATTACATTCTGTTCAGTAGTTTTTAAGAAAAAAATTCCGAAAGTTTGTCGATTTCGTCACTTTTTTCACATTAAGTTGTAAATATCTCAGAAACGAAGCATTTTAAGAATTTTTGTCAAAGAATAAAAAGTGTTTATTTTGGTCCATTTTACAACAAAAAACTATTTTCAAAGCAATTCGGCGAGTAATTTTTTTTTACAACTTTTTGTTTATAACAATTGACTGACCACGCCGAAAAATATAAAAAAATATATGTAAATTATCAGAAAAATATACTTTATAAAATAAAAAAGTTTCATGCTGTAGGTTTTCGTTTTAAAAATTTAGTCGGTTACCTTCATTTAGAAGCATCTTTTTAGGGGTGAACCGCTCGCCTAGTTGATTGGATTATCTTTCAAAATTCGTTTCGTAAAACTGTACTTTGCATTCTGCAGTTTTGGAAGAAAAAAAATTTAATTATTCCTGTTTTATTTTTCCTGTAGCTTTGATGGAACCAGACCACATATCGAAAAGGTACAAAAGAAGCACATCCAGTAAATCAAGAAGTAAAAGAGAAGCTCCCTACACGATATTCCCAGAAATCCTGGTGATCGTCGACTACGACGGCTACAGGCTTCACGGAGGCGACAACCTACAGATCAAGAGATACTTCGTATCCTTCTGGAACGGTGTGGATTTGAGGTACAAGCTACTAAAAGGGCCCAAGATCAGGATATCTATAGCTGGTATTATAATAAGTCGGGTAAGCAAGAAAATAGTGATGAAACGGCAAGATTTGATTATAGTAAACAAATTTTTTGCCTTCAGGGAAGAGATGCCACGCCATATCTAGAAAGAAATAGAGTCGGAAGGGATGCCATAGACTCCGCAGCGGCGCTGACCGACATGGGGAAATATTTATTCAGAGAAAGAAGACTTCCTGTGTACGACATTGCCGTCGCAATAACAAAGTAAGTACACACGAAGATATAAATATGAAAATGTAGACAACGTAACATTTATTCAGTTATAATTACCGTGTATTTAAAGGAAAAGAGATATTGTAATAATTTATTGATCAACAATTGTTTACTGTTAGAGAATGTAAGCTTTTCCTAGAGCTATTAAAATATTTCCATCATCAAATCATGACATAAAATACAAACTTTCGATAAATGTGATTAGTTCCTCGTTTCAGTAAACAGGATGTCCCAAAACCATTGTACGTGGAGTTACCACAGTTCCATTCGATCAAAATGAGCAACATTTAACTAAACTTAACTCTATCACAAGCTGCTTTGTTTAACCATTAGAGGGCATCAATGTTGACAAAAAAACAGCTTTTTTCGAAAACTGTCATTAAAAGTCGACATTTTTGTTAAATTTTCATTTGACCAAGTGAGACTTTCTTTGTTACCCAGGTCGAAAATACTTTAATGTTCTAGAACGCCAAAATCTTTTTCGTTCTAGAACATAAGACAAATGTCAAAATAATTTGCAAATTTTTCTAAACTTATTTATGATTTTGTTAATTACACAATATACTCTTTAAGTAATACAACATTTCAATACAAATACACAACATACATTCAATACACAATATAGAGTTGGACGCGACTTCTTGTTTCTGCAAGCTGAATTTATCACTATAGATGCTAAATATTATGTACAATAATATACTAGTTTCCACAGTCATAAATATGAGGGTGAGATTGTTTACAGGGTGGTTAATTGTATAATTCTTACGTAAATTCACATTTTTCGCTTATAACTTTTTTCCGTTCATTTCCACGAGAAAACAGTATAACTTTTTTTTCGTCTACAGAAGACCTAGAAAACTAGCCCTCGAGCGTCAAAAAATATCGATTAGATCGAAAGTTATAAACTGAAGAAATTTATTTATAACTTTTGAATTAAACATTTATAAACTGCGTTATTATTACCAGAACGTTTTGACATAGCATCCTCTCATTCCTTATCACTGTCTAATAATTCACACGAAATCTGGAGTCGGTAAGTTGAATAGTTTACAAGTTATGGCCTTATAAACAAATTAACTAATTATTAGTCTGGACGATCCCGAGGATCTTCCACAATAGCACTGATTTTTTTCATGGTAGATTTCATAGTAATACATTGAAATCTATCATTTTTTTTTTAAATTTCAAATTTGCAACCTGGAAATTTTTTTCATTTTTTAGCCTTAGTCGCAAAATGAAATATACAGTAGCGTGATGTAGTTATATATTATTACATATTCGGAAAGCTTATGAAATGAGCTTTAAGTTAAAAAAAAATAATCAAGATTTGTTGAAAACCAACGGAGTTACAGACTGTCAAATAAATTATTTTCAAGCGAATTTCGCTTATGGTCATTTTCTTCGGACTCGCTGTCGTTCGCTTCCCCCACCCTTCCTCGCCGAAAATCAAGCGACCCACTGACTTTTAACAATATTTCTTATGCACTTAACATACTTCCACAAATAAAATATTTTTATCTGGGAAGGTACTCGGGTTAAATACCTTAAAATCTCCACCACTGGCACGTCCAATGAATTCGAGAAGGGTGCGAAAAAGTAGCTATTAATAGTGGTAATGTGTGTACAAAAGCTCAGTCCTGTAGTTCAAACGATTCCTAAGATATTGGCGAAAAACTAAAAAAAAATTAAAGTTTTGACACCGTGTATCTCGAAAACGAAAGCCCGGAGAGAAAAATGGAAGAGGAAAAAAANACTGCAATGTATTATTATGAAATCTACCATGAAAAAAGTCAGTGCGATTGTGGAAGATCCTCGGGATCGTTCAGACTAATAATTAGTTAATTTGTTTATAAAGCCATAATTTGTAAACTATTCAACTGACCGATTCCAGATTTCGTGTGAGTTATTAGACAGTGATAAGGAATGAGAGGATGCGATGCCAAAACGTTCTGGTAATAATAACGCAGTTTATAAATGTTTAATTCAAAAGTTATAAATAAATTTCTTCAGTTTATAACTTTCGATCTAATCGATATTTTTTGACGCTCGAGGGCTAGTTTTCTAGGTCTTCTGTAGACGAAAAAAAAGTTATACTGTTTTCTCGTGGAAATTAACGGAAAATAGTTATAAGCGAAAAACGTGAATTTACGTAAATATTATACAATTTACCACCCTGTAAACAATCTTCCTCCCATTTTTATGATTGTGGAAACTAATATGTTATTGTACATAATATTTAGCATCTATAGTGATAAATTCAGCTTGCCGATACAAAAAGTCGTGAAATGGTCATTTCCCACCTTATTTTCCTGGTCTATGCTGAAGATGGTAACAATTTATTTAACGGCAATTATTAAAATATCCCGAAAAGTTGTCCAAAAATCAATTGATTTATATTCATTTCAATGACCTTTTCTGGCAGAAATCTATTATCAGGTGCTTCTTGTAAAAATCTCTCAACTTCCTCTTTCGTTAGAATTCTGAACTTTTCGGGACGATATCCAACTAATGTGCTTTTCAAATAAAGTATTAGTTTTGAAAATTTTCTGATGTTTACATTTCTTTGGCATTCACTGTACTTTTTAACATGTAATATACTAGAATAGACTATAAAGTCGAAGATTTAATTTTATGTTCGAAATATGTCACTAATACCACTTCGTACACTTTTTGAATTTTCTTCGAACTACACCGCCCTTTGAATTCGTTGTAGTCAATCTCGTACTATCTCGACGATTTTTTGGGGATTAATTGTGAAACAGCGTTTTGTGCAGCTTCCAATACTTCCCCTGGTAAATGCTCGCCTTCACTTTCCGAGCTCATTTTAACTTAACCACTCTTCGAGTATCACTTACAATGCATAATTCTGACACTACTTTTTCAAATAACTAATTTTTATTATTTATTAGGTTGCTATCGTTATGATAACCATCGCGCCTAAACCGTTTTGATTTAAACACGGTTCAAACCATTTCAAATATGAATTAAATGGTTGTACTTATATAACACAATTGTCTTATTTTATAGCGGTTTCCGAAAAAATATTGTTTGCGTCTCTTGATGCAAAATAAAAAATACCCCCTCTCTTATTTTAATTAACTGCTTATTTTGATCTCGGGAAGCTGTGGCATCTCTATGTACACGGAATATTGAGACACCCTGTGTTTCATTGTAGAAGCACGTGAAAGTAAATATACTCGTACACATTTCATTGTAAAAAGCAGGCAATTTATAAGTCTAAATACATTTATAACCTGTCCTTAATTGCTGCATCCATAATGTGTATCAGCACGACTTTTCTATGGTTTATTAGTCTCCAGCGAAATTTTACAGCTTTTAACTACAAATCCACCATAAAAAGTAAGTAAATTTATGTAATAGTTGATTTCTATCCGCATTTAATTCAATAGATCGTCATTATAATACTGTTCCTGTCTCTAAAACGAGACGATACAAGACGAACGTAATTCAACTGTGACAAATTTCGCGTTAACCGAAAAATCAGTTACATTAAAAATTCTATTTTTGCCCGAAGTCTACGATATTATGTTTTTCTGATTGCTGCCCGAAATCCAATTTGATCTGTCAATTATCCAAAAAGAGATAACGTGTCTGTATTCATTGCAATCGTAATTGTAACCATGGGCGTCGTTGGCACCGAGTCCAAGAGGGGGTAAATTTAAAATCAACTCGCAATACATTATCTGTTGCTAGGTCTAAGGTCCGTGACTAAATCGTACGTGACGTAAAAAACAGAGACGGATCCAGCACATCGCACTAATAAATTAAATTGACAGAATTACAAAAAATTTAACAAGAGTTTACGAGTTAAACTTTTATTTTCACCGACAAACATGTGTTTTGAATCATCATTGATGCATCTTTATATTGTAGTGTTTGAATATACTTTTAATTCAATTGAATAATGCCTGAGGGAACACTAAATAAGCATGACCCATCTCTCGGTTTCGAAAATTTAATACCTATGTATGTTTTCAACCACGAAAATTGAATAATTTTATAGATTTCCAATTTTTACCACCAAGAACGGCGGTGACAATGGTTCTAACAATAAGGCGAAGTTTCGCATTGTATTAGTTATGTCCATTTTATAGTGCTTCCTGGAATGTACGATTTACTTTCAGACATTAGACCAAAATGTACTTTTTGAGGTTATAACATTTTATTTAAACTTTAAAGAACCTAGAACAAAAAATGTTATAAGACAAAAACCTTTTCCAATAAAAAGTGTTTCTTCTAGATGATAAAGCAAGAAAATATTTGTTTTTAAAGGTAGATTCAGTCTTTTATCAGGAGTATATTTTTATCACGCAGCTTGTTGGAACGATATATCTATGTGCTAGTAAGAAAATGTAAATGTTAAGAATTACATTGAAAAAGATAGATATTTTAAAAATAACCTTTCACACTATTTTTTTAAATAATAGGTATAGTACATATAATTAATTTAAATACTGTACTACTTCGTGATAGCTAAATTTACTGTTGTGCCTTTTGGTTAACTACTACCAAACTTGTAAGGGGGAGGGGGAATCGCCGTCCTTGACCCCCTGGACGGCTCCCATGATTATAACTAGACATAAAAACTCCGAACAAAATTCCTTTAATTAATTGATTCTTCAAAGATGCAATTCTACAGTCGTAATTGTAATGGAGTATCTCTATATTTATAGTTTAATATACAGGGTGTGCACGGTATAAGTGCAGTGATAAGGAAACCTAAAGTTTGAATATGGGTCATATTTATTTGGAGGCTATCTTTGATCGTTAGAAATACATGAGTTCGCTTTCTCCAACTTCGTTGTGAGAACTGAATTTTTTTAAATCTTCTTTTTCTGAAAACTAAAATAAATGTAATGTAAAATTTTATGTTATCATATCTCATCCGATGGATTGACATCATGCAGTTCACCTAGACTAGATCAATGTCAATGTTGTTGGCAACTAGATTCAGATACTAAACACAGTGCTTTTAAAATACTTGAAAAAATTTTAAGAGTTATACTCTATGTACATTCTCGAAAAGTTGTCTTCGTGTATATTTCGATCATTACTATCGCGTATTGCACGAACATTCCTTACACCGCGAACACCCTGTATAACAGTAGGCGTCCAGCTCTACCAATAGCATTCGTAGTATAGTCGACAGGACAAGACACAAGATGGACAACAATAAACACATCCACCTTTACGGACTTGAGGAACTAGACGAAGACACTGATCAATTCTAATCGAATTTCTCTCCAGTTTAGTTACATTCTGTGTTTGTTATTAAAATTTAGGTACGACATGTGCCGCCGCAGAAAAGGTGGACGCTGCACAAAGGGCACTGCTGGTAATCTATTGCTCCACTATTCTTTTTTTCTAGTATAAGTAGCGTGTACATAGGAAGGCTGTCCCTACTAACATCAAAATACTCCAACCCCACCAAGGGTCTGCGGCTGGTTACAGTAAAACTAATTCAGAATATCCCTCTAACATTGTGCGGCAATAGCATAAGAATGAAGTTTTCACACAGTATTTATTTTTAATCTGGATAGAGAATTTGTACCTCACTAGGTATACAGGGTGTTTAGGGATTAATTGTATAAACTTGGATGTTGGTGGTGGCGGAAAATGTTTTGTTTTCGAGATACAGATTTTTGAACTAAGATTTATCTAATTAAGAGCAAAAATCCAACAATTTTAAAAGAAACACATTTATTAACTGATTGTGAGTCACGTTTTTAATTCTCAGTAGATAGTACAAGTTACTAGACAGAATGCATAGAAACAGAATAATTAACTATCATTTTATTTTGATATTGACCCAAAAACTTCGGGTGATATGTGTGGAAAAGCGGAAAAGCGCAAAGTATACTAATAATGGTGTAAGTGAAGAAGTACTTTGGGATATTTTTTGGAGAAGTAAAAGAAAGTAAAACCGTCATTATTATGGTTCTATTACACGAAGTTAAAGTCAGTGTTGCTGGTAAATGAAAATTATGACATTTCAAAATAAATAATACGTTTGATATGCTCGTTAATTAATTTCATTCGTTTTTTTGCAACTAATTGTTTAATTATTATTTAACGTTAATTTTAGAAGTTGATATCGTTGATATAGGTTCTAATTGATCCAAAGAAACGTATCCACAAAGAAAGATTTCAAAAAGTATCCCCTTACAACTATCAAAGTAGGACCTGCAAAACAGTGTTATAGACAAATTGTCAGGCAAAAGCCGCTCGGGAATTCACTCTTTCTGCATACATTACATTTAACACCCTGTATCTCTTTAACTATCAACTTTTGGACTAAGGTAAATTCGGCTAAATCGTAATATTTTTGCTTCGGGAATCTATCCATGAATTTTGGTCCATTACCTCGGGACCACCCTGTATATTTCTGTATTTTGAACACAGGAATTCCAGTTTTAAATTTAGCCTAATTAATCCCAAAACACCCTGTAAAAGTGAGCCTTTTGCCTCTCGACAGTGCAACCTTATTTATTTCGTACAAAAGCAACTTTTTACTACCAGCCAATCGTTATTGTTTGTTTATTTTATTTACATTTTGTTTTTTGTTTAATATTGTGTGAAAACGCTGGGGAAAACTAATTTATAGGTGCAGCCACCAGAGGTCGGACCACACACATACACACACCACACCCCGCCCCAACGCAAAACCAGCACATTTTCCCACACTTTTGAACGCGTATTTTTTTAATTTTTGCAGACTAGACATGTGCCGGAGAGCGTACCCCAATGACCAATGCAATCGCGGCACCGCAGGTACGGCGACAAAAGAGAAATAATCAGCACGTTTTTTTCCCGTACTCAAAAACTTCTCTGTTTCTTTCCAAACACACTGTAGACTCTTCCATTCATGAACCATGTAAAATTCTACGCACGCTCTGTACCACTTAACACAGTTATTCGAAGGATTGCACGCACATAATTAATAGCTAATAAACCGGGTGTGAAGCGAATTATTGGACAAGTTGTAGCTGTAAGTTTTGTCCAGTCAGTGAAGCATTTTGGCTACCAATTTTTTCGGATAGAATGGATTGACGTGAAATTTGAACTGTAGCTAGGGAATAGACCAAGAAACAAAAGATATATAGTGCCGATGTGTGCTTTTACCCTAGGGGTGGATGCCACCCCTTCTGGAGGGTGAGAATTTTTTAATTAAAAATAACCTCACGATTCTGAGCAAAAAATGGTCTATAAGAATTTTTTGTACCGTCAATACTTTTTGAATTATTTGCGTCTAAAGATGTTCGTTTTTAGCCCAAAAAAGGCATGTTTGTGAGCCATTTTTCGTGAATATCAAAAACTACAAGTTTTATCAAAAAAATATCATAAGCAAAAATGAAGGTAATTAAATAGCAAAGAGATTGCTTTTTTATTTTTGTAGATGGTATAGAACCCGAGTTATGACTCCCAGAAGTTGAAGTCAATTTCGAAGATATCTATAATCGAAACGTTCAACGGAAAAATTAAAGGTTTTTCGAGAAAACACCTATTAAAGTTCTTGAAAAGACCTTTAAATTGATGGTAGAAGTCGTTAGCATGAAAACTAATGAAGTTACAATCAAAATAAAATGATTGTTTTGATTTTTGAGAAAAAAAAAATCGGTATTAAAATTAATGACTTGACGGTAAAAAAAATTAAACGTATTCCTTCTGCAATTTACTTCATTTATGTATTAACAGTAGATTCTGGGAATTTGAACGAATTTAGAAGCCTAAATTACAAAAAAAATTCATTTACTTTTGAATAAAATTTTTCAATATTTTAAAAAATCGCATTTTTTTAAAATATTTCAAAAACTAACAAAGTTTTAAGAAAAATGATAGAATAAGAAATTGTAGGTTATTTCTTACTGAACAATTTGATTTTTTTAAAATTTTTGTAGGACAATTTATGACCGTTATAAGCTCAAAACTAAGCTCCAAGACCGCCTTTCCTGAGCCCTTTTAGCTTACAAATCTAAAAAACGAAGGGCTCAAAAAACTGCAAATCACAGAACTTAAAGTATGTAATCTAATTGTTTAAAAATAAAAAAAGTGTTAACTTTAAAAATTTACTGTTTAGCTAAGGAATTCAAATATCGTAATGTCAACTGTCTAATTTGCACATTTTTGTTATAAACAAAGTTTATTATTTATGCATTAAATATACTGTATAAAATATACCCTATGCTTTTGCATTTTTTCAATGAAAAAAATTGTTTACGTATATATTTCAACACTCTGAATATGAATATATTTAGTTATAATTATTACAATTATTTAAATAATTTTTGTTTAATCAAATCAAAAATTTGTTTTTATTAGGAAATTATTTTTTTTGTTAAATACAGATAAAATTAAGAAAAAATAGCACTTTAAAATTATAATTTTAAAATAACTAAATTGCAAATTGATAAATGTAATCTAATTGTTTAAAAATAAAAAAAAGTGTTAATTTTGAAAATATACTATGACCGTCCTAATCAACAGATTTCAATTTTTCAAAAACCATTTGAAAGGTTTAGTGGTCTTTCCTATGTATCAATTCAAGTATCTAAATGCTTTATTTAAAGCTGTGCAAGTTTTTGAAAATTCGAAAATTTTTTTCAAAATTATTTTCAAAAAATTTTTTTTGCTAAAACTAGAAACGATTTTAATGAAATTTTATGTGTTGTTTTATTATATTTACTATAAAGTTTTTTTACCAAAATTAGAATGCCCTCGCAATTAAAATCTTTTAAAATGTATCCAAAAAACTTGATTTTTTGCCTTTTTTTATCAATTATTGCTATTTTGCAACATCGGTAATAAATTTAAATATTTTTAACTTACAGTATATTGTACAAAATTCAATTCTAAAACTTTTTCCCCCTCAATATTCTTCCATGCATAGGTTCCAAGATATAAGTAATATACTCAGATAAAATAGGTATTTTTTTAAATTTTTTAAACATTTTTGCAATTTTAAAAAAGTTCCGGACCTCGCCCAGATCTAGGAATCTACACTTTTATTATGCGAGTTGTACTGAAGGTATTCCAGCAAAAATTAGCTTGCCCCCTCTGACATCCAAGAAGAGGGATATTTCGGCAGATTCGCCTTGGTCTATATGTCATTGGTGAGATTAGGACCCTTTATTTGAGAATCTCATTAACGGAAACATCATACAAGTAATATATTATCTTAAAATGGTTCTGAAGCTCTATAATTTAAATTTACATCATAATACATTGCCACTAACAAATAGCAAGTAATAAAACTATAATCAATGCTTAAAATTTTAAATGAAATGTTTATAACGATTATTATCTGTTTTAATACGCTTTTCTACTTCAAAAATTCTTATTACGGTCCTGACCTCCATCCAAGGTGACCAATAATATTACATATGCTGTGATTTGCAATTGACTCTACTACGAACGCTAAATTCAAATTGCGCATGCTCCTGACAGTCACAAACTTCTGCAGAAACAAACCTAAAAAAATATTTGACATCTAAGGAAACAGCAAAACTGGCAAAAGTTTATTAGCTATTAACATAATCTTATACAGGGTGTCCCATTTAAGGAGGTTTCTTTCATGGTTCTGAGAATACAGACAATACAAAAATTGTTTTAAATAAAAGTTATACTTAAAACGTTTTTTTGTATTGCCAGCATCGATATTACCAGAGCTCCGGAAAAATCCCTCTTAAACGGAACACCCTGTACTTCTCACGTTACACCCACCTATTTAAATTTATCTCTCTACTTACCCATGTAATTGCACCATCATTTTCAGTGTTATATTTACTAGTGTATTGTAATGATCTTCACAAAAACGTCAGACATAATAACAACGTAATAGTTGGTAAGGTTTGCAATACTAATGGCTACTAATAAAAATTTCTACTAATTAAAATAACTAATTCACTTAGAATGTGTGTAGATAAGGTATATACAGGACGTGAGTCTATATTCGCCCATATATACAGGGCGTCCTAATTTCATTAGTTAACATTTTTATTATTAACTTAATTTAGTTTTTGTGTAATTTTTAGAAGTACATTTATTCAGTTCATTTTTTAATTTTGGTACCTTGGAATTTTTTGTCTATAGTTCAAATTCACAACGAACTGTCAAATAAATCTAAAATTACAAAAATTAATTCCACATCTTACTTAATTGAATTAAATATTTTGCTACTACATTATTAATATTTAATTGTTTCATTACACTGAAACATACATTTATTTGCAAATTTTTCCGACTAACAATTTTAGTATAATACGCATTAATCGGCGTAGTATAATACGCACTAACTAGCGCAGTATAATACGCACTAACTAGCGTCGTATAATACGCGCTCACTAGCATAGTATAATACGCGCTAACTAGCATAGTATAATACGCGCTAACTAGCATAGTATAATACGCGCTAACTAGCATAGTATAATACGCGCTAACTACCGTAATATAATACGCATTATTTAGCCTTTAACGACTTATTTTTGCCTAGTAAAGCGTTCCTCGGTGGTGGAGGTCTAGACTTTTAGATGGTGAAGGGCTCTGTGACCAGGTAGAACACATTTATTCATTACAAACAATAATTGCTAGGGTTCGCCTATGTTGGGGGAGCGTGCGTCGTGAACAAGAGACTGGAGAAAGTCAACTCAGTCGCCATCATCGAAGACACCGGTGGCTTCAGCGGCATCATCGTAGCAGCCCACGAAGTCGGCCATTTGTAAGAAAATATATAGAAAGTAGACGTAATGCTTCCTTTCTTTGATACAGTTGCTTCTTTGTATGCTTAAAATAAATACAATAATTTTTAAGCATAAGTAACGATTACTATAATGTTATAAAGACGAAATTAAATGTGTCACTGAAATATGGACACTCTGTGTAATTTAACCTCATTTATGGTTGTTTCCTTTGCTAAGAAGGGCATTTAGATTTGCAAAAGAAGTTTGTTCAAAAGTTGTACATCTACTGCAATTCTTGTTACTTTTGGAGTACCTCAAGGTTCAGTACTTATCTCGCTATTATTCAATCAGTTCATTAATGATATTTGTGAAATTTTCTAATGTTCGTTTATATGCGCATTACTTCAAACTATTCACCTGTATTATACTTTAAAAAGATCTGTCAATGAAAAGAATAAATGGTGAAATTTCTTAAGTTGTATCTCTCGTTTAGACCTGAAGATTTGTAAAGTATATTTAATATGGATGATTTAACATTACTGCTATTTTTATACAGTAATACAACATATGTATATTGTTTTGATATTACTTTGCCCTATAACATTCCCTTTGCCCTAATGGTTTTAGGTTCTGCCCTATAATTGGGATTATTTGTCAAAGCAGAGTATTTTTAAAAAAATAAACAGGAAGCAACGTTACAAACAAAGGAAACTCTGGCCAAACAATTGTTAAACGTTAGTCTGCTTTAGATTAGGTGCAGTTCATGATGGCAGTCCTCCACCATCGTATTTAGGAGGACCAGGAGCTGAAAAATGTCAATGGACCGATGGGTACATCATGTCCGATCTGAGACATACAGAAAGGGGTTTCAGATGGTCGCCTTGCAGTGTATCCAGCTTCCACCACTTCTTGAAGTAAGCCATTCAAAACTTTATGATGGAAAACAAGTAAAACAAATAACAAAAATAGATATAAAGACGATCAACCATTTTTTAAGGATTGGATTGAAATTTACTTGTTAATAGTTTCAGTTAGAATAGAGATCAACGAAAATTAACATAACAATCTTTAAAACAGCTTCAGTTGATGCAGAACAATTTGTATTGGAGAGCAATTAATTTGTATTGGTATGCAGGCTTCTGTAACAGTTGCCAATGGGTTACACTTCTTCTCTTCGTCTTTGGAGTTGCTGCCTCCAGAATCTTGTTCTAGAAGATCTCCATGTAGCTGAAGATAATGGTGAGCCCATGGCTGTTCTTTCAGTTTGTTCATAAAACTGATTCCTAAAGGAAAAGAAAGTCAATTTGGTGCACAAAACTTTACTAAAGTTATCTTCTTTGTTGGTCTTCTATATAGCTCTTTAAATGCTTCTTTGTGAGCACTTTTTACGACAGTTACGTCACGTCACATTTCACTAGGACGTCATCCAGATCTAGTTCCAATCCATTGATCTTGTTAATACAATTTCCAGTGTTTTTAACGACATGTTGATCTGTCTTTCCCACTTGGTCTTTAATTTTGTATCTAATCCAATAGCCTCACTATTAGTCGGGGTGATATGTTTAGTTTGTGGAGCTTTGTGGAGCAATAACCTTGATATGTTCTGGAGTCAGATATGTATGTAGTTTCTTATGAATATTAGAGGCTCGAATCGCATACTTCTTCTCAACTTCCTTGATCAGAATCTATATAGATAGATATTTTTCTTATACACCAATTCCTATAGTAGATCCTCTACCTCAGCCATAGATTCTATTGTTCCTCAGATGATAGATCATTTTTCCGCAGTTATTTGATGGCCTGGACTTAATTTCTAGTCAGATTTATAAATTCGGTAGTTTGTAATACATGTGCTACCTTGGTTTTTACTTCTACGACTTCTTGGGGGCGACGTCGACAGTTTCCAGGGAGCTAAAGATTTCCTCTTTCGTCATCCTGGGTGGTATGGTGAAAATAGAAATAGCAACAGAAGGGTTTAGCTTCAATTATTAGTTTCCTCGGAAGAAGAATGTCTCTTGAAACATCAAAAAGTTTCAACTGACAACGTGACAAGAACTGTTATTAATAAATAATAAACTGGAACAATCCTTAACACTTGTTAAACATGTCAAATTTATTATATTTATACTATTATGATTATTGAACATGTGTAAAATTTTTTCCAACTTTTTTTAGTGGGGATACAGCCACTTGCCTCTATAACACCCCCCATGAGGATGAGAATCTTCCTAGAGTTTTACCAGGAAAATTATTAACCTTAGACGCTCAGTGCCGAAGAGATAGAGGAACGAGCGCATGTTTTGTAAGTTAATTGTTTTTATTTTAAGCCATCATCATGCAAAAGTGAATGAAACGTGTAATAAAAATACCCAGTACTGCAGCAGTAACTCGATTTCTTTTACAAATTCGACTTTTACACTATTAGAAACCTCAACCCAATATAAACACGACATTTTGTTGTATATACTTGTGAGATGAACTGAAGAACGAGATTATTATACTTTATTAATGTAAATTGAGAATGAACATTTATTTAAGATTTCCAATGTTTACGATTGCAGAAAGATGACAGGGTGTGCGCGCAGCTCTTCTGCTTCGATTCGGGGAGTGGCTACTGTGTAGCTTACAGGCCCGCAGCCGAGGGATCGCCGTGTGGGGACGGTCAGGTAGATTAGTATTGATTGTCACATAAATGCAACGCTTATGACTGTTTCTGTTTTCAGTATTGTATGAATGGAAAGTGTGTGGCGGAACACGAGAACATCATTCCAGACTACACGCAAAATTCGCCGTCTTATGTCCGGCCGGGCAATTCAAATCAAGGGAGGCCGTTGTAAGTAACTTGTTTGTGTTAGCGATAAGCTTTGTGCTAGCAGATGTGCGTCTCAAAATTGATGTAAGAGTACGTTTGGGAAAAAAATCAAAAATATTTTTTTGATGATAATTTTGTTCCATTCGATTTTTCTGTTTGCATTTCTAAATCCGGTGATGCCTGTTTAGTCTCTTACAGGACGTCTTGAAAGAAATTTTCTTCGGGATGGTCCCCAGAACCCAAAACCTTCCAAAAAATCGTAAAAACAAGACCCACAAACAGCAAGAATAGTATAACTGTTTATAAGATGCGATCTTTGTGGGATTTGGATTACGGTAAGGTAATAATATCTTCCCCCAAGTGATTCACTCGCAGTACCCACAGAATCAGGACTAAATACTATACACTTTGCTTTTTCATATAAATCTAAATATACAGGGTGGACCATTAGTGTGAGAAAGTAAAATACCTCCCTTGTTACCCATAATACAGAAAACAAGTTTATATAAAAATTATACAGGATCAAGAAACCTATACTACAAAATTAATTTGATACATAGAGGGTGATGAGTAAAAGCGGGACACTCCAAATATGATACTTTTTAAATGGAATACCCTGTATATTTTTAAACATATGGATTTCCGGGAAATTTCTATATATGGCAATATAAACAGTTTATCGTTTTAGTGCGGGGTTGTCAAGTTATGTAGAAAATTCTTCGAATTTTGGAAAATACATGATCTCGAAGAATTTGTATTAACTTTCAATTACTAACACTTGGAGTAAAAATATTTGATAAAGTTATAGGCAAATGTTAGACAAAGGCTCCTATATTAGCTAATATCGATGTTTTATACAGGGTATTTTTTATAATACGATCATTTTCAGAAAGTTTAAACTTATTTTTTAAAATTTTCCAAATGGAACACCCTGTATTTTATTGTTCTATTTTGTTCACATATCGATCCACTTCAACTTTTATTAAGCATGTTCTATATCCAAAATTGTTAGTTTTTAAGATATAGCAACATTTCTGAAAAAACTTAATTTTTATTATTTTATAGAATACCACAAATAAATATTAATTAATAAAATTAACTCAAAATAGAATGATAAATTATGAACTGACAAGCTGACACAATGTGACAGTTTTTTCCAAAGCCATTTCGTGCGATCAAAAATAATAAAAATTAGGTTTTTCCGGAAATGTTATATCTTAAAAACTCAAGTTTGAACTTTCTTAAAATGATCGTATTATAAAAAATGCCCTGTATAAAATATCGATATTAGCTAATATACGAGTCTGCCTAACATATATAACTCTGTCAAATATTTTTGCTCCAAGTGTTAGCTGTTGAAAGTTAATACAACTTCTTCGAAGTCATGTTTTTTCCAAAATCGAAGAATTTTCTACATAAATTGGCAACCCCGCACTAAAATGTTAAACTGTTAATATGGCTATTTATAGAATTTTCTCAGAAATCCATATATTTAAAAATATACAGGGTGTTCCATTTAAAAAATGTAACATTTAGCTTGTCCCGTTTTTACTAATCGCCCTGTGTGTTTCAAATTAATTTTGTCCTTTAGGATTTTTGATTCTGTACAACTTTTATACAAGCCTTTTTTCAGTATTATGAATAACAAGGGAGTTATTTTACTTTCTCACACTAATGGCCCACCCTGTATATACACATTCTGTTTAATCCAAGGATACTGGACCTCAAAAGGTTTTGGTCCAATACACCTCTAGTTACATCAGTTTTGAGACACACTGTATGTAAGGCATACTNTAGAATACCACAAATAAATATTAATTAATAAAATTAACTCAAAATAGAATGATAAATTATGAACTGACAAGCTGACACAATGTGACAGTTTTTTCCAAAGCCATTTCGTGCGACCGAAAATAATAAAAATTAGGTTTTTCCAGAAATGCTATATTTTAAAAACTCAAGTTTGAACTTTCTTAAAATGATCGTATAAAAATTGCCCTGTATAAAATATCGATATTAGCTTATATAGGAGTCTTTGCCTATAACTCTGTTAAATATTTTTGCTCCAAGTGTTAGCAGTTGAAAGTTAATACTTCTTCGAGCTCATGTTTTTTCCAAAATTCGAAGAATTTTCTACATTACTTGAAAACCCCACACTAAAATGTTAAACTGTTTATATTGCCATATATAGAATTTGCTCAGAAATCCATATATTTAAAAATATACAGGGTGTCCCATTTAAAAAAATGTAATATTTGGCATGTCCCGTTCTTACTCATCGCCCTGTGTGTTTCAAATTAATTTTGTCCTTTAAGTTTGATTCTGTACAACATTTATATAAACCTTTTCTCTGTATTATGAGTAAAAAGGGAGTTATTTTACTTTCTCATGCCCACCCTGTATATACACACTCTGTTTAATTCAAAGATACTGGACCTCAAAAGGTTTTGGTCCAATACACCTTTAGTTGCATCAGTTTTGAGACACACAATGTAAGGCATACTTAAAATCTGGCTGAAAGTTTGTCTGGCTGTGTGAAAAGAATTTATTCAGAACTTATTCGAAGTTAATTATTAGATGAGCGTACAACTCATCTAAACATGATAAACCAAAGAAAAATTGAAGAAAACATGTCACTATTATCAATTTTTGAAAGACCACTGGAAAACTGGTAGATTGAATTAAGTCAAGAATTCATATCTACCGAGCAATAGCACAGTAATAAATAAAAACGTAGTCTCCATACTTACAAAAAACATGACAAAGTACAGTTTCTAAACTTAACAACACAAAATTTGCAAATAGTTACTTTCAAAATTTAACTTTACTTATTTTTTTTTTGTTTTCTGATATAGTGTTCAGAAATATAGTTACTTTCATTCAAGAAAAAAACATGGAACTGAAATTTCTAAACTTGATTCGTAATAAAACATCCTGTATCTCAAAAACGAAGCCTCACAAGACAAAAACTATAGGCTATCATACTAGGTTTATTTTTTGATAAGAAATCGATTCAAGAAGTTTTTTTAATTTAAACTGAAATTACGTTGTACCTACTTTAATGTTACAAATGGTAAGTTATGTAGCTGCTCTGTTTATCACTCTTGCTGCATCCTTGTGCAATTTTAAAAAACACTAAACTACACTAGACTATTATACGAGGGTGGTCCCAGAAGTACCCGGCCTGACCTAGAGATGGCGGTAGTTGTTTGAAAAATATCACTGTATTAGAAAGTACACAATCTATTAACATTATAGCTTTATAGATTGTGTACTTTCTAATACAGTGATATTTTTCAAACAACTACCGCCATCTTTAGGTCAGGCCGGGTACTTCTGGGACCACCCTCATATGTACGACTGTACTAATTAATTAAAGTCTGTTACTAAAGAAATTCAATAAACAACTGATTTAGATACATTACTGATTGTGAGTACTAGAGAACACCATGTTATACAAACTTAAAACAAATCATAAAAACTTTAGTTTTTTGTGAGTTTGAGGTGCAGTCGCTCAGTTAAGTTGTGTCCAATAATTATGACTCCAGTTTTGCCACTGCATACACTATTTTTTTTTTGAATAAATTCTGAATCTCTCCGCATAGACCGCAAACCTTCAGCCGGACATAACAACACGCTGACACATGTAAATACACATAATAAAGCAGGTTTTACACTTAAAACAGGTTCCACGACGACGAAGAAGATGTAGTAACTCAAAACCCAGCACACCCTTACCATTTCGACACCACACCAGTACAGTACAACCCTTACAGTCCCTACCAGAACATAAACTATGACGTCCAGAACAATCAGTACCCTAACGTCTACAATCCCGAATTTTCTGCCTCCACCAGAACTGCCCCTCAAGTTCCCGTCCTCACCACTAAATTTACCTACAGACCCCTAAATTTGGTCGCCATTACGACCACCAAATCTCCCTACGATTTCAAAAATTTCGGCAAACCCTCCACGACACTGATCGCCTCGTCGACTAACACCGTCCAAGTAAACAGTCCTTACACAAGCACCACTAATCGTTACGTAGGGAATTACTATAGTATCAGGAGACAAACCACTAAAAGTCCTTACGACTTTGGAAATTTTGGGAAAACCACGCCGAATCTCTATAATGTAAACGACAGCGATAACGTTAATAATAACTATTTAAAGCGGTCTTACAACGATTCCAGTTACTATTCGGACGGTAGTGATATTAGACAGACACTTGTAAAAGGGGGAGTTTGATAGGGTAAGACGTTAAAAATAAAGTCATGTTTCTTTCCCAGATCATTGTGCATGCGCAGGTAGTAACGAGTTTGTCGCATTGTGTTAAAATGTGCCATCGAAAGGTGTATTAATTTTTTTTTCCTGATATTCGAATTAATCACATCAATTTCTCAATCTAAGTAGTGGCGTTAATAATAGCTATTTACTTGAAAATTAATATTTTCTTGGTTTTTCTCATTTATGGAATTCTTTGGAAATAGCTTATTTATAAAATTTAAATGGAAAATTTGATGCAAAAAAAATCGTTTATAAACAATTTGAAAAAAAGAACAAAAAAATCGACTGTTTTTTTTACTTTTTTCAGTTTTTTAATTGTAGCTCGAAAACGAAGTAAAATTTCGGTATAGTTCATAGGAAAAATTTTGTAGAGAATTGAATTTCCCATCGAAATGACCTTTTTAAAAAATTTAAAAGAAAAATTTTATGCAAAAATTCGTTCATAAACAATTTAAAAAAAGCAAAAAATTAGATTTTTTTATTTTTTTAAATTTTTTTGACTAATTTATGTCAAAACGACGTAAATCTAAAAAATATTTAAGTTTGACCAGTTATAACTCGGTCAATATTAGTCCAAAAACTTTTGAAAACGCATCATTTCGAAGGGAATCTCATCTAGTTTTTTTGTACAGCAATTTTCTTTGCCTATTTGTACTGGAAAAAAATTAGAGAAATAAAAGTAAAATAAAACAAAAAATCTTATTTTTTACTTTTTACATTTTTTGCAAAAAAGGAAGGAAAAAAGACGTTCAACGATTTTCATCACATGACTTGGTCGAAGGGTCATTAAAAATGAAAAAACCGTGGGGTGCTATTAAATTAGAGGGTTGAAATTGAAGATAGGGGTGAAAATGTACTTTTGCAGTTTTTTAAATATAGCACGAGAACGAAGCAAAATTTCGGTATAGTTCTGACTTTTACTCTATATGTATAGACCTCAAAAATTGATATTTTGAATTTAAAATTTGTATTACCTAAAACATTATTTGAGGTTATAAACAGATTTTTTTATTTTTTTCAATTTGTTTATTAACGATTTTTTGCAGAAAAGTTTCCTTTTAATTTTTTTAAATAGGCCATTTCGATGGGAAATTCAATTCTCTAAATAATTTTTCCTACGAACTATAGCGAAATTTTGCTTCGTTTTCGAGCTACAATTAAAAAACTGAAAGGGGTGCACTTTCACCCCTATCTCCAATTTTCACCCTCTAATTTAATAGCATTCCGCGTTTTTTCAATCTAAAATGACACTTTGAACGATTCATGCAATAAAATTGCTTTAGTTATAGTTCCTTTTAACCCTGTTTTTATGGATATAGCCAATAGCCTATCAGTAGCATAGAGAAAAACGCATAATACTATCATAAACTTATTTTATACAATAGTCAACTTGCATGGAAATATATATTTTTAGAACTACATAAATTTGTAGTCTGTTACCTACCAACAACAGTGGTAAAAAATTAATTTCTTTAACGCTGCAAATTACTTCGCACTAAATGACGTCACGAATACATATTTCGCCCGTCAAACTTCGATGATGCCCCTAAATCTTCAACCAAGTCAGGTCGTCGAAGGATAAACCCATTAGATTGTAATTCTAAACTATTTACTCTCTTGTGGGGTCGCTCGCAGGTACATGTATCTAGAGTCCCTGGCGCCAATCTGCCGTGGCCCTTTTCCGGGAACCATAGTGTGTATGTCCCGTCTCTGTTCTTTGTCGCTTGCAACTGTTATACCGGTCCGGTGTCAAGCTGGCGCTCTTAATGCGATACTTAAAATGGGTCACTTGCAGACATGTGTACCCACAACAGTACACCAAAAGTTTATTAAATTTAAATTTAATTCAGCCAAAGTCACTATTTATGGGGCAAATATCTTCATGCCATCAGCATATAACACATAAAAAACGTTCAGAACAGAAACAATGTTATTAATATAAAGTGCAAACATCAAAGGTCCAAGAAGAGTACCCCGTGGAACTCTTGAGGTTTGAGGGAACTCTAGCACAGTCTTTGATACAAAAAGCGAGTTTGAAATCAGATCAAATGGTCGTTGTAGGTTTTAATTGTCTAATTAAAATATGTACGTTGTCAGAAGAATATGTAAAAGTGTCTAGTATTGGTATACATATCGCTTGTTGTGTTATAAATATTAGAAGTTATAATTAAAGAAGCAAAGTATTCAGCAATACTATTAGTAATTTATCGGAGATTATTTGGAGATGTTTTGTTTACATGTAATGTTATTTCCTTCATGTTGGCCATCTAAAAATTATTAAAATAGTAAGATTAAGGTTACATTACCATAAAACACAACGTTTTGTTTCACCGATTGTGGTTGGTGTTATTTTTCACGAAATACTATTCAATCAATCAGCGAGCGCGTTATTTCGAGTGCAGACGTAACAGTTTGTTACTATTCATTGTAAACTAATCATTAAATTGGCGATGCCAAGATTTGGGGACTTTTCGTTACCAGTAAAATCGTGCAATGTTGGATTGCATAATCTCAGGGATCACGTGACTTATAAACGTTTATGAGGGCTATGTATGTCATAGCCCTTCTGAGGATAAACAAAAATTCGAAATGTATTTTGATTGTATTTGTGCGTCATTTAGTAAGCAAATAATCTTGTTAAAGTGAAAAGTCTTTACATATTCAACCCGTAGTACTGTAACACCTTAGTTAAGAGTCTTTAAATTAATGATAGTTGCACGCCTCAGAAATTTTAAAATGAGAAAAACTAGAGAAAGTGTTTGTTTTTAAGTAAGTTTTTATATTTGCTACCCAACTTGAATACCTACAGATATTTTAGAAAAGACATTTCAGTCTGTTTAATAATATTATAATGTGTAAAATACAGTCTTTTTTACAAACTGAATCTATTTAACTTTATAAACCGATTTAATTTTTTCTGTAATACAAATTGCAAGGATTACTGAAAGAATCAGTGATTACAGTATGTTAAAGTGTAAAATCGGTGAAATATTAAACCTTTTGGAAATTCTTAAGTTTTATGTCGTAAGTAATAGACAATCTAATTAAATTATGCGTAAAAAAACAGTGCTGCGTTTTACAAAATTGTTTAGAAATATTGAAACAAAATGTTGGAATGTAACGCACCACTACTATTTGGTTTATTTTTTTTTTCTTGCGCTACTGAATTAATAATACAATGTACTTTAACTTTCTACACGTAGCTATATGTCTCAATATAACACAAATCAGTAACTAAAAAATATGACCTTGAACCATCTTGAAAAGGAGTAGATTCTTCTCTGTTTTGACCTTACTGACTTGTAGCATACTGTAATTATGTTAAACTCAACCGCATTTTTTGCAATCAGGATAATACGAAAATGTTTTTTTTCGAATATCTGTTAACTTGAAAAACGTTTTAATTTTATTATTTAGTGACAAGTTTCTGAAAGAATCGTTCTTTCCTTTGTAGCATTTCTACTAAAATACCTTGGTGACTAAATAGCATTCACACTGTCTTCATGTTGAACTGAAATGCATGATCTTTTTTGTTCTTCTATTAATGCAAGTTTCATCTACAGCAGCATTTTTAAAAACATCTCCTATCTCCAAAGAAAAACTACTACCCTCATCACCTACATCTACAAACATAAAATGCATGGAACATGTTCTTTAGATTTAAGAAAATGTCTACCCTGTATAACAAATACTTTATAAACTTTCCACTAACAAAAATGAAGCTACAAATTTGTTTTTTGAATTTGATTATTGTCAATTTGTCAATCAGTAGTAGCTATAACTATTAATAACTATTTCAGCAAGCTATATTTATTAAAAAAAAAGCAAATTTGTGGAAATTTTAGGAAAAATTAATGATGGGACTTGTTTTTTTGCAGCTGAATGACAGGAGCAATTGTTACAAAGCTACAACAGAGGTAGCCATGCAAGAGACAAATGACAGTGGTTGTGATGTAACAGTGGTGATTACGATTACAATTTTATGTACAGAATTGGACAACACAGAGTGATAAGTGCGAAACGGACATTTAAGGATATTAAATTAATATTAGATTTAGTTCTTTTGCCTTTTTGTTCTTTAGTAGTGTATATATTTTGTTAAGACATACTGCCAATAATTTGATAAATTATTCTACGATCGTTTTACGGTTAAACGAGGGATTTTAAAAATTCTTCGTTTAATACGAAATTATGAATGTTGTTTATACTTGCAAAGAGAGAGTGCAATTTATTACATTTTAGTGATTAAGATGTTCTTTTGTAACAATCTCAAGTTTAATTAGTTAAGTTCCTAAAATATTATGGTAAGTCGAAAATTGTACTGTTTGTTTTTGTTAGTTTAAAAATTGTAAAAATATAGTGTATATTTGATACAATTAAAAGACAATTAAATGCCTTCTAGGATCTTTTTTATAATAAGATTCATGTTTCATTTCTCCAACCTTCAATACTCGGATAACACATATCCAAGTTTAAAATATGAATAAGGCATCTCTAAGAACTATTCTCGTTTTTAAATACCAAGACACAATTTAGAACTACCTTGAAAATAAGTTTTTCTGAAATAAGTGCGTTCGGTCAAGGAGGTAATAGATTGACCTTGGTCTAATGTGATGTGTTCCAGAAAATTAATCAAGAATTATTACGCGAAACATAGGCCGACTCTGTATCGCCCCACTTAATCGACTGATTAACTGTTTACAATGCATTAACCAGGCCAAGTTCAGTGTGGTTATTTGCACCGCGCAACCATGTCTTTCTTGCTCTCGTAGACTGTATACAGGTCTGTATCGGTAAAGTGAATCAAACGTATGAATTTCTTTAAATATAAACTCCATGACTCTAACTCACCCGCAAACTTATTCCTGTTGACCTGTACGTATATATTCGCGAAAATCACTACATATTATAAAACAGTTCTCCGCCGCGTCTGTCTGTCTGTCTGTTCGCGATAAACTCAAAAACTACTGCACCGATTTTCATGCCGTTTTCACCAATGGATAGAGTGGTTCTCGAGGAAGGTTTTAGTATATAATTTGTTAAGTTTTTGTATACATTAACGATATTTGTTGGAAGTGTCGGAAAAAAATAAGCCGTCTGGGAGCTTTCAACGAAAACGCTGCCTAAACCCTTTGAGATATAACAAAATAATGTATGGTGGAATTGTGTATCTTATATGGGTCTACAGAAAAATCCGCGATGGCATACGTCTATCTCTTAAGGATAACATACCATATCCATTTTAATACTTAAAAAAATGGGTAATTATGAAACGGAAATTGGAAAGCTATTTACACAAATACGGTATTAATCAATAATGATTACATTTTAAATACGTTAGTTGGCTTAAGCATTTCATGAAGATTATTTTTTCCCTTTACACCATGCAAATTAAACGAATAGCTTAGGAGATATAGCAAAATCAAAATAATGCGCAACGATATTAATTTCTTGTCGCCGCGATTCGACCGGACCGCGCTGGCGCCCCGTGACCCCGCGCCTCGCGTGCGAGTCGGGGGGGTCCGAAAGTTTATGTAGTGTATCAATGTATGGTGGAATTGTGTATCTTATATATGGCTACAGAAAAGTCCGCGATGGCATATGTCTATATGTTAAAGATAAAATACTACCTATATCCATTTTAATACTTTAAAAAATTGGTAATTATAAAGCGGTAATGTAAAAGCTATTTACACAAATACGGTACTAATCCTTATCATTTTAAATAACTTAGAGGCTTTAAGCTTTTCATGCACATTATTTTACTCTTTTACGCCATATAATTTAAATGAATATCTTAGGAGTAATCGCAAAAAAATTACGGACGCGAGGATAAAATTCAAGCGCCTCGCTTCGCTTGATGCGATCGCCGACCCTCCTCCCGCACCGTCTTGCCTACCGTTTAGCTAATAAGCCGAACGATAACGCACGCGTGATCCTTTAATAAACTGACTGATATTTTACTTAAATATAATTTTTATTAATTTAACAAAACATTCTTAGATCTCTACAGCAGCCGTACCTCAAAGTTTATCAACATGAAAGTCAGCATCTTCATCGGTTTCTATACCAATGTCTTCAAACAAAATTTTCTTACTTTTGAGATAATTTTCCAAAATCGAATTCAGCACATCCAAACAAATGCGTTTACGCTTCTTATACTGGTTCAGCATCTTTTCGTAATTCTGATCAGCAGCTTTTTTCACGTTAGGACAAACTGTTTCTGTAGCTGAGTATTTTTCAAGCTCATTTTTTATTTCCTCCAACTCTTTTTCCAGCAGGAACTTTTTATTCAAAGCTTCCCCCAAAGATATCTTCCCTTCTACTTCCGTTATCTGGGCTACGGTTTTCTTAAGCTCATCCGAAATTTCTTTTAGCTGCAGCTCTTTTTCTTTAATATCACGATCCATTTCTAACAATTTCTCCCTCAGTTCAGCCTCAGTTGCGTCGTTTTGTTGTATCAGACAATACACCTTTAACAGTAACGATATTTAAGATTTGATTTCAACAGAAAAAAAAAATTTTACTTCATACTATGAGTATGAGAATAGATTTCTTTAAATGAAATTTCGTTAATTGGTATGCATTCGAAAACTAAAAGAATTAAGTATACCTAAACAAAAACCCAAAAACCGTAGAAAAAATATTGCAAAAATATAAAGAGATCACTCACCTTCTGCTTGCCGTATATTTTTTCCTTGACCTTCTGCTGCTCGACTAGTGAATCCAGTGCCTTCTGAATGGCCGATTTCCCAAAATCACCCTTCACCCCCTGTTGAATTTCGTTCACCGAAAAGGGACGAATGTGATTTTCCAAGAAATTTAACACAGCCTGCTTTGCCATATTTTAAATCTGAAACAGATATTTTAAAATGTAACAAAAGACGTTCTTAAATATAGAATAACTATAACTTAGTGTGTGCAAACCGACCCTGTGCATCTTGTGCACGTGCGTTGTGTGTTGCAGTATTACTTAGCAGGCGCATGCAATGTTTATTGGTGTGATGCAAATTCCCACGTAGTACAGATATCTCGGTTCCAGCAACGGTTTTCAGTGAATGTGTGGTGTGTTTGGTGACAGAATTTTGACCGTCGTTTGGTAACATGCTTATTAGCACATGGAAACAACTTTGAGCAATTTTTGTAGAGCATATCGTCTATTTGTAAATAATTAAGAATATTTAGCAACTAAGAATTAGGCAAATACATTTATTTACATTATGGCGTTTATAGATAAAATAACCATTAACTAACAGCTAATAGACGACTAACTTTTGTCTCAACTGAAAACGAAACAGCGTTTGATCCAGTTCTTAACTGAAATCAGTACTACGCAACCATAAATAGCGTGTTAAAACAGTTCTAACCTCATTCTGAAATGTAATTGGCTCTCTCTTAGTTAGTTTCTGAATAAACGGCAGTTTTCTGTTAAGTGTTATTTGCTAATTGCTAATTCTTAGTTGTTAGTAGCTGTATAAATTCTAAGTAAGTTAAAGTTATACAATTTTTCAAGAGATATCCCTTGTCTGCCATACCTAGTTGAAATTCTGTATTATCCCAAAATCTATTCGAAATTAAAATAGAAGTGTTTTTGATTTACTGTAAAACCAAACACATTTTTGGAAAAATCGTATTCTTTATTATGGCTAGTCACTGAATTGAGCGATTCTTATTGTGGCCATCTAGGGGCGACATCTATTGATTATTTTCTCTACCAACAGTCACTTACACTTTTCTGGGATTTTGTTGACCATCTTTCTATTTTCACACCTGGAAAATTTAAAAGAGTGGGTATATTTAAACAAAACAACATAATTCTATGGAATAATTTTATTAAACTACTCAGTTCTGCGTTCTGACTTAAAAAAAAAATAATTAAAAACAAACATAAATGCGGCAAGAATGGCTTAACAATAACCAATTTTACGTCACTGATGGACTTGGCAAAGTGTTGGCTTTGGCGAGAATTCTGAAAATCATAGCGACGGACGCTAAAAATACGGCCCCAGCAGGCATAAACTTCTTTTTGTTGTAATACCGGTATCCCATTACACCGCCTAGAATTGAACTTGCGGCCAACTGGACACAATAGTTTTCTGGGTTCTTGCTGACCTCGTGAGCTCCATAAAACAGAATTCCTCCGAACACTAAACCAGCTGCTAGGGATGGTACAGAACCTAAATTTATAAAAATACATTTTTTCTAATAATCATTGCACAATGCACATGTAAAACATTGAACAGGAACAATAAATTGTCTTAAAATTATTACTTCCAAAATACGTTGCTTTCTGTACTCCCGTTAAGTACGGCACTGGCATGAAATATGTCAAAGATAATATACACTAAACACCCTAAATATATATACATTAGAATAAAGTACTTTAATATTTGATGTTAATAGGAGATATTTTTAATTATAAAATTTAATACGCTCGCTTTATTAAAAACAACAATTTCCAAGACAAGTTATTATCCATCAGAGATAAGGAACGAGTGATAATTACACTTATTTGTCTAGTTAGCTATTATTTTAAAAATTAAAAAAAAACATTAGTTCAAATGGCTAATATAATAAGAGTAGATATAAACATTGTAATATTCCATTAAACTTTACAAATAAAAATACATTAACTTGCTACACTAAAAAGAACTAATTAATCAATTATCAGAACAGTAATTTTGGCAAGTCACGATGATAAAACTCGATCTATAAACTAAAATGATAACATAGACGTAATTTTATTATTTTATTTACACAAATATATATACATACGAGCTTTATAGTATCCTAATATTCCTCCAGCTGCAACTGCACCTGCAAATATGTAACCAGGAATATCTGCAGACATTTTAATGTCTATTCCGTAGCAGTAGCACCGAAAAATACAACAGGGTGTTGTAACCTCACTATACTATAGTCTACTATATAACACTGGTTTAAGATAAACGATAACATCGTTCACTTCACGTTGCGCAATACACAATTGCCGCAATTAAAATCACGCGATAATAAACACAGGGCGATCCACAGAGACTGGGACAATATATTTTTATCTTGCTAACAAAAAATTAATAATGTACCTGTTTTTTTTGGGTTTAGAAAACCGAACTTCATAACAGCGTTGACTGAGAATAAATAAATAAGTTTCGGGAGAAAAGTAACTTTATTTTAATGTCTAAAAGTTAGAGGTGTAGACTTTTAAATATAAAGTAAGAATTACAAAGATCCAGTCACTGATTCGGCCTTGAACTGTGGCAGTAAACTTTAAAAACAATAGATTAGCCACCAAAATTTGAATTTACACTTTTATAAATCCAGTTTGCCGTCACTAATTCACAATTAAATTCTATTAAATTCCTTTAGAAATACGAATAACATATATTTAGTTGAGTTAGGTAACTACTTACCGTAAACGTAAATAAAAAAAACAGGAACACAATCCGGTTAATGGTTAATACCAGGTAGAATTTATTCAAAAAGGTGCTTACATAGCCTGTGGGTGTGGGTGCTTAGATTAGTGACAATAACACACGCTACCGCTAGAGGCACAGCATAATTTGCTGTGCTATAGGTTTATAACAATGTTTTTATGTGTTTAACCTATAAAATAAATTATCATATGAAATACTTACACAGATGAAAACGGCACTTATATTCTTCTTTTTGTTATATTATAAACAAATATTGAATTGAAACTACTTAAATTAAATGCAGTTAAACCGTTTTAAACGCAAACCACAGCACATAGAGTTTATAGATAGATGGACCATGGATCACAGATTAGAAAAAAGATGGACAATGATCACAGATTATCAAGGTTTTATAGATGGATAACTTCTACTTCCCGACAACTCGAGTTACATCAGCACCTCTTTTGACGCGTTACCATACTATGAGTATGAGTGTGTACCGTAATTCAGTAAAAAGCACTAAAATTTTTGTTAGGCGGGACTTACTGACTGCTATAAGAAAACATTTTTTTTATAAAAGATTGCTCCGAAAGTTCAAAATATGTTAACTAACCTTACTGATAGACCGGACGCATCAACAGATGATGCAAAATACGGTGATTCATTCTTCACTTACCTAGTCTCCCTGTTCACTAGTTTTTTTCACTGATTTCCCTAGCAGGTTGCCAACTTCTAAAAATATGTAGTGCGCTTTATTGAAATTCTGCTGAAACTAATTACGAAACGCACCTTATTTTATTATAGATATTCAGTAGTTTCTCCCAACTGAGGCCAATTATTTTATCTTTACAAAAAAAAATATTGTTTTTAAAATTACAGGCAAAAATGAGTTTGTTAAAAAAACATACCATACCTTTATTGATCTCTACGGCGCAGATTTATTTCTTTAGTATAGAAAATTATAAAAAAAACTATTTGTCTATGAATAGGATGAATAAATACTTCAAATATGTAAAGAAAAAATTCTCTGTTTATGCAACAAGTTTATTAAAATATTTTACAGCTTAACAATATAAAATAAATTATAAAAATACCTACATTAAATCCTGAAAAGCTTATTAAGAGATGGAATCGTGAAGGAAGGCTATAATTGTACGACTTGTTTGAAAGGAAATGTTTAACCTCTAGTTTTTACATATTTCTGAACAGATAGATGCAACTTCAAATTAAATATAATAAAAATGTACCATATTAATCAATGATATTTACTACCAGCTATCAAAAAAAAGTAATATATTTAAAGGTAGATACATTTATATTTTGGCACTTAACACATAAATAAACCGAACTGAAACAGTGCAATTAAAAATTTATGAAAACCTAAACTATTTCACAAAAATATTAATAAATGGCCCCGTCACATTCAAGTAAGCCAAATAAAAGTTTAAAAATATAATTTTCGACTTCGGAACTGATAAAATGAAACTAAAAACGAGTGAAATCGTTAAAGCAAACGATCTTTTTACCTCTACCCAAAATAACATCCACCTACTTATTTTTCTTGGATAAATAAACTACAAGAGTGCACATAAACAAGTCAACAAAATTATGCAATTATGCCTGCCTAGGGCCTGTTAAACCCGTAGCTTTACCTGCAATTCTTACGATCATAGCTACAGATAACAGACACACAACCCCGGCAGGCATTATTTTTCCGGTGTTATAGAAACGATAACCCATAATTCCAGCCAGAATCGAACTTGTAGCCAGTTGCACAGAATAATTCGATGAATCTTTACTTACTTCGTACGCTCCGTAAGCAAGGGCACTTCCAAACAACAAACCTGCTGCCAAAGAAGGTATAGAGCCTGAAATTAACCAAATATACAGCTTGTGTTCAAATGTTTTTGATACTGGATTAATTCACATAATTATGCAGTAAAAGCATTCTAGTTTCTAATGCCTCAAGTTTGTGCAAGTCACCTGTATGAAAAGTAAAATGTAATAATTTTATTACCTGCTCTATAATATCCAAAAATGCCACCAGCAGCTACAGCTCCTGCATATATAAATCCAGGAAAATCGGCAGGCATTTTAATATAATGTGTATTTTGTTTTTTCTGTAATGTCTTTTTTAAACAAAAAATGAGCACGCCAACTTGATGGATAAAAAACTTCTGAAATAGAAAGCAATTTTTCGACAACATAATATTAGAATTTATGGTCAGATATATACTAGACGTCATCAAAAATTAACAAAACGGCAAAGTTTGAATTATGCAACTCTTGATAATAAATTTAAGTTCAACAAATTTTAAAATAAATTCAATGAAATTTCAAAGTCACTAATTTAATTGTATAAAAAATTCAATTCATTTAAATTATAATTTAGCAACCTATTAGATTTGATGACAATAAAATATTATAAAAAATCACTTCTATATATAATAATTTTCAAATATAGTTATAAAGCTATATCAAATAAATTAAAAATGTATAAATATGAATTATAGGTATCTATGATCTATGGTTAAAATCAGATATTACCAGTTCTGGTAATAGAACGGTTAGCTTCTGGTTGAAGCTGGTTGAATATGTTAGCGAAAAATAGCTAGACGGATATGTTTATGGGGGTTATGTTGTTATGTTTAAAACAATTGAAAAATATTGTGAATTGTGATCACTGTGATAAATTATTTATTAACATTTTAAATGGAATTACTGGAATTTAAAGATACAAAATGTATACCCGATATAATTCACCCATATTCTTCATCTTTAAAAAACAACGCTGTTCCCATTGTGATAGATAATGGTAATATAAAATCCGATTTTTATGGAAATATATCGTATAAAACCAATACTTTTCAGGCTCTTACATGGCTAGAGTCGGTTGGGCAACCAGTAACGAACCATTACTACTGTACAAAAACTTAATTGCAAAACCTCGCAAAGAACGATCCAAAAAGGATACAATCGAAACACCTCAAACTCCCCAATTGCAGGTGGGGAACGATATCGTCAATATAGAAGCCGTGAGGTTCCAACTGAAAACTCAATTTGACCGCAACGTTGTTACGCACTTTGAGGCTCAAGAACATCTCTTTGATTATGCATTTCTCCATTTGGGAATAGACACGGACGATTCAGTTCATCACCCGGTAGTTTTGACTGAAGCTTTCTTAAATCCAAATTCTTCAAGGCAGTGTAAGTTTTTTCTTTTATTTTGTGTTAAAATTTATAAAATCGTTTCTCTTTGCCAATAGATACAAAGTATTAAGCTTTCTGTTAGTAGGCGTTGAGTAACAATGGCATTTAAGATATGACATGTATTTTATAGGTTATATCTCACACACACATAATATATATAGCGTTTTTTATTTTAGTAATGTCTGAATTGTTGTTTGAATGCTACGCTGTGCCAGGAATATCTTATGGTGTAGATTCTCTATTTTCTTATCATTTCTCACAGTCTAATCCCGAACCAAACGCATTGATAGTGAACTTGGGCTACCAAACATGCCATGTTATTCCCGTACTTGAAACTAAAACGATTTTTGAGAACACGAGACGGCTTAACACTGGCGGTTGGAACATAATAACGTTCCTGCATCGCATATTACAACTAAAGTACCCCGCACATGCTGCAGCAATCACACTGAGTCGAGCGGAAGAGCTACTGCATTCGATATGTGCGATTGCAGTTGACTATAAAGAGGAGTTGAGCAAATGGAACGATTCCGCTTATTATGAGGAGAATATCAAAAAGATACAGTTACCATACACGTCAGTTGGGAACAGTTCAACCTTAACTTGTAAGTAAATTTATTGATCTTGTGGGTTAGAAATGAAAGTATATTGAAGAAATTCTAGCAAATTAGTAAAAATGGTTTTCAGCCGGTGTAATTCAGATTTTTTAGTAGAGCAACAAAAGGAAAGAAAACGGGAGCTAGCTCGACGCCTTACGGAAATAAATGCGAGAAAACGAGAGGAGAGACTGGCAGAAGACCAGGAAAAATTGCGACAATTACTGGAGGTGCAAGAGATAATAGAATTCGGTGCAGACCAAGAAGAAATAGATCGAGCGTTGGCCGAGTATCAGTTAAAAAATGTCCAAGAATTGCAAAAGAATATTCTCAACTTGAATATGAAGATTGAGAAAACAAAGCTGAAGATCATTGCTGCGAATAGTGTCGAGGAAGTAGAGGAACCTCCTTTGAAGCAGTCGAAATATTCGAAAATGGTGTTTGAGAGTGAAAATGCTCTGCAGTCATTTTTGGAAAACGTGAAGAGGCTCGTAAGTTTTTAAATATTCGTTGGTTTTAACAAAATTTTGTGTGTGATCGTTTAAGAAAATTTTAAGGTTAGGTTAGGTGTTCATTTTTTTAACAATATTTTAAGGTTAAGTTAGTTGTTCATTTGTTTAAACAAAATTTTAAGGTTAGAATCAATGTTTTAATTTTAATTCATGTTTGACATTTTAAAATGTGTTTTTTAAACATTGTTAATTGTTCATTGAAGATGTTCTGAACAGTATACAAAGTTGTGTGTAGTGTTGTGTGAAATGTCCAGGTTAGAAATTGGAAAAAATGTTTTCTTGAAAACTAAGTTCGACCACACAAAAATAACTCCATATTCGTGTTCAGCTTCATCAAAAATAGGGGAATTAGAAAGTTTTTGTGATGATTTGGGATGGTTACTCTATAGTAAATAATTACCGTCTATTCTGTTTAATAACATTTTAAAATTAGGTTAGTTATTCGTTCTTTTCAACAAAACTTAGAAGCCGTGTTAGGTTAACCTTCTTTTTAATACAACTTTAAAGGTTAGATTAGGTTAGGGTTCATTATTTTCACAAATATTTAAGATTATGACTATTAAATTTATTTTTATTTTATAATTTCCATTTCCTATATGAAAATAATGAAGTGTTTTACAAATCTGTAGAGACAAGACATCCTCAATAAAAAATTGGTCCGGAAGCAGCGAAAACAGGATATATTTAAAAGAAGAACTGCGGCAGGGCAAGAAAGAATGAGAATCATATCGCAATTGGCAAGAAAGGAAAAAGGAAATGACGATTTCGGACTTCGGGACGAAGATTGGGACATTTACAAAACTATTAGTAAAGATGGTAAATTACTTTTTTTTTAGTTAATTGTCAAATATAAAAAATAAACTTTTTTTAAAGGGGGAGATTCCGACAGCGAGGCGGAAAACGAGAAACTCCTAGAATTCGAAGAAATAATCCGCACCCACGAACCGTCCGAAATAGACGAAAACATAAACCCCGGCGAGACCCACCAACTTCACGTTGGTATCGAACGTTACAGGGCACCGGAACTAATATTTAAACCGTACATGGCGGGCTCCTCCGAGGCGGGCCTCTCTGAAGTAATCGGTTACGTGTTGTCTCTGTTCAAACCCGAAGACCAGTTAAAGCTAGCAGCGAACGTCGTCGTCGTTGGCGGTCTGGCGAATTTGAGAGGGTTGCGTGAACGGATATTAGTCGATTTGATATCGATAAGACCTTTTAGGTCTGAGGTCAACGTGACGGTTATGGACAACTGTAGCTCGTCAACGTGGCTAGGAGCGAAAAAGTTTGCCCAGTCGGGGGAATTGCGGAATTATCTGCTGACGAAGAAAAGTTACGACGAGTACGGGCCCGAGTATTTCAAGGTGCACGTCGCTTCTAACCCGTATTACCCGACGCCTAAGGAGAGTGCTATAGACGTTGACGTGTAATTTTCGTGTGCGAGTTTTTGTAAATATGGTAAGATAATAAGTTAATAACAGAATATCAGTTTTTTTTTACATTCCTACACTTTTTTATGTTGCGTTGTTTATTTTTATGTTAAATTGCGATATTTCTTTAACTCAGCGAAGTTAGCGAATTGTACAAGTAAAATTTTTCCAAAATCTTGAAAATAATGGAAAAAACATTGAAATAATTCAGATGCTTCGTTCTGGAAAATTTTCAATTCAGTTCTTGTGCCGAAATTGAACGTACACCAAAAGATGTAGTTGTTATCATAGAAATTGAATTTTGGACGTAGTATCTCAAAAGTATTGTCGATTTCAGTTTTAAATGATATACGACTTAATTTTGATGGTTAAAATGATGCATATTTACAGTAATGGTGAATTAATTGATATGTTAGTATATGGGGAATGTTGCCAAAATGCTGCCCTAGCATCGCGACTATTCTGAGCGTTTAAACTTTGTGATTGCATTCCTCCCTTCTTTTATGTTATTTCCCAAACCAATATTCCTTAAAATTAAATACTATATTGATTTTTTAACCCGAGTTGACGCCATATTAATTTACCTATACAGGGTGCAACTTTAAGTGGAGGTCAGTTTTTTAGGGGTAATAGTACGTGTTGCCCTGAATACGAAAATGAAATTCTTTTGTTTTTAATCAAATAATCGAGTTATAATTATTTTTTTAAAATGCACTTTAATACTTGCGTACACCGCCACTGTAATATTCATGTATTTTCATGTATTACAAAAATACATGAATTGTAGGCAACCTACAGTGCGTGTGAAGGGAGATAGTGCGGGTCAACGGTGACGAAGGCGTTGTTTCAGTTGTTCCGTATTTGGAGATTACATCTAACTGTGAATTTGAATGTTTTTCATCGCGAGAATCCATCAACAGACTATTTTTGTGTTTTTCATTTATCGTTATTGATTACTAAGGCACGACATTTTTAGTTCGTTTTCACTAACGCACGGCAGGTTGGGTGAGGGAACGCCATGCTGCCGCGCTGCTAGGTATAACAAATAAAACCGGAATCGGCAATAATCGGCATTCTAACGACAGCAGTAGGAACTTAGTATTCCGTTTCGTCGCAGCGTATCAGATGTATGTTTTTTGTTCTTTCTTTAGCGACGAACTTTTTCCTATGTCTTAAGAAGTAAATATTTAGAAAGACTATGTAATAAAATCAAATTGTGCATGCTTTGCGACTAAAACGCGCCGTTATTTGATATTTGAGGTTAGAGTAGGTTCTCCAGCGGCGGGGTACGAAAAATTACTAAAAAAGGTTTAAAAAAAAATTAAATTTTTATGCCGGAATTTGAAAAAATAAACTATTGGTACCTGTTTGTAAAGGTCAAAGGAAGCCTTTGTATAAATATGACCCCCCCTCAAAATTACACCCTGTATAGGATATTTTTTCACTTGTATTTCTTAAAGGCAATGTAGAACTCGACAAGTTTATAACATTGCTGTAACGTCTCAAAAATAATAGAAAAGTCATCTGAAATAATTGGAATATTTCCCTGTGAAAAAACTTCAATTCGGTTCTTGCACTAATAACTGGATATCCAATAAAAAATATAAGATTTAGTTATCATAGTATTGTAATCGTGATTTCAACGCAACTTCTCATAAAAGTAGTGGTGATCTGTGTTTTAAATGGTATACTATACTATTTCGGTGGTTAAAATGATTAATTGATATGTTAGTATACGGGAAGTGTCGTCAAAATGCTGTCATAGCATCACGAGTGTATTCTGAGCATTTTCCTTTGTGATTTCATTCGTCTGCCCTTTGATTTGTTTATAATCGGCAATAACTAAGAAAACAATTCAATTGAAATTCATTTTAATTTTATTCGGAAAAAATTGAAGACCATTTTTTAAAAATCAGACGTCTCGTTTATTTGCGATCCAATTGAAAAAATTCTTGAAGCTTTTTTTAAATATCGTTTAATTTGTTTGATAGTACATTAACAATTATTTATATTCAAATAAAATACAACTTTTGGCACCGATACAAAGATATATTTTTTTTAAATTTTATAGAAGTAATTTTCTGTTGAACTAGAAATTTCCTCGTGTATTTAGATTGCCTTTATTTGGTATTCAGACAAGCACAAAGTATTAGAAAAGCTTTTCTTAAAGTTATAAATTAAAATTTTTCGGATTTGGTGCAGATTTTATGACGTCCACTGTATAATTTTTTAAATAATCACGCTTTGTTAAATATATCCGTGAGAAATATCGGCAAAAAAAAGAGAAATTATTGAAAAATAGAAAAATAATATCTTCGCAAGCTGGTAAAGTTTTTAAATCTACTTGGAAAACCTGGGAATATCAGGGAATTTCTTTTTTTTACACAATAATGTGTAGAAAATGCTAAATAATACCATTGTATAAGTAAACTTATACAATGATAATACTCTCTTCTTACAGCATGCACAGGAATACACCGAACGATAGTTTGTGTGAATGAAATGATAATGATAACTTTGGACATGTTTGTTATGTAAATTAAAAGTTAATTTTTTATTTTCTTTATGTTTGAATTTTCCTGTACGAGACTACATTTTTTCAAACATCTCCCTTATGCCTAAGCCGATTTAAAGCAGAATTTAACATAGCTTGCCCATATTTACAACATTCTGTTATGAATAATTATTAAAACAGTATTTCATTGACTTTTACGTAACAAAGATAATACAAAAAGTATATCATAAATGAACCAATATATTACTGTGACAGTTTTATTATATTTCGTTAGACAGTTGGATTACCAGACTTCAGTCAGTATGATTACAGCTTTACTTAAAGCTAACAAGCAGATTATACAAGAAAAAAAAACGACTGTTTTATCTAATTTTGATGAATGAATATCAACAGTTAAATACAAAAAAAAAACATCACAAGGTCAAAAAAACGGATAAAACGAAAAAGTTGCAACAAAAAAAATCTAAAATTAATGAAAGGTTATGGTTGCAAAAAAAATATCATCCTGTGGATTACTTAAATTGATAATTCATATGTTCCAAAAAAAATATCGAATTGATTATATTAAAAATCTTTTAAAATAAACAAAGAATAATTAAAAAGGTTATAATAATACCTACTCACCCTGTATCACAAAAACAAAGGTTCTGTAGATCTGCGTCCATACACCTTTTTTCCTGATTTTTGGTCAAGGAATCACCTATAAAACTTTGATAATGGAATAATGCAACATGCTGTATATACTTTCTTGGGAATTATTTTACAATTTTTTACTAAATTTTTACAAATTATTCTATGAGTAAAAAGTATTATTCTTTGTGTGTGTGGTTTCGATATCTTTCAAGGTTCGCATTTTTCGGATTCTTTTTCAGTTTATGCAGGTTTGAAAGTGGGTCGAATATCTTCGACGTACATATATAAGTGAACCATTGTGTCAATTTTCAGTTAACGTTAACATGAATGTGAAGATAATAGTTATTTTATTCGCTCGATTATTTTGGATAAGCAACATTGCAGGTAAGTTACAAAAATTTAATTTTTTCGAAAAATAAAAATTTTATACAGGGTGTTTCAAATACTGCTAGAAATTTTGTCAAAAATATATTTGCATTTTTATGCATTTAGTTTTTTATTCAAATTTTAATAATTAAATACAAACTAACATAATTCCATTTATTTTCCTAAGGAGATTTTTTTTATTTTGGTTAAAGTATCAATTATAAAAGAATTTGTAAGTGGAATATTGTCAAATATACTCATAAATAAATAATGTTATGTTTCAACAAGAGATTATTTAGAAATATTCCTGCAGGTCAAAATGTTTCAAAATTGCTTAGACCAAGCAGCTGTGTTGTGGTCCAAAGACAAAGCGTTGGCGTTTGGAGACCCATTGATTATTATTCCGAATACGAAGATTACGACAATGGGGAAGAGAATTCCACATCTTCAAATAAAGCCCAAAAGCTCTCAAACCGATACTTAAAGAAATTCCTTAAGATTAAAAAGAACAAAAGAAGATCCTGATGGGGTTATTTAACTAAATGTATTTAATATTTCTTCACTTAACATTGATAATAATAAAAAACTATGAAATATTGACTTAATTTTTAAATATACAGGGTAGGAAAGCACCGATGGTCTATCTGAAGTTACGTGAGAGCGATAAAGTAAGCCATAGAAATCCATGCGATAGAGAAGGATGGCTATAATAAAGGCGTCTCATAGTCACCGCCGGTTTCGCCTTTCCACAAATAAGATCCACTTCTTATTTGTGGAAGGGCGAAATGGGCGTTGACTATTAGACGCTTTCATTATAGCCATCCTTATCTATCACATGGATTTATATGGCTTACTTTATCGCTCTCACGTAACTTCTGATAGACCATCGGTACTTTCCTACACTGTATATATTTATACGCATATAAAACAACTCCGTTGGACCAAGGTTTTATTTAGGTACCTCGAATACGGACGTAATAAAAATCAATGTCTGATCTGCTTGTTTCTTAGTCAGTGATAAAGATAACTTAATTGAATACGCCTTGTTGATTAAAACCACAGACCTCCTGTGATTTAAACTACTGCATGGCAGAGTACGTTTTCGTAGACGAGAAAGATAGAGAGTAGCAGAGAGAAGGATAGATGTAGTGTGGGTGTCATCTTTCTCTCTTGCACGGTCATGTGATTGGCTAAAGCAACGCCTTCAACGAATAGAGAGAGAGCGAGTACCCAAACTATCACCCATTTACTCTGCAGCTTCTACACTTTTTAACATGCGGTGCTTCCTCCATGTATTATATGCTCTAAGGTGAGCTGGTCAGCTGGTCCCATTCATTTCAACAATTTCATTTCACGCTGTATTATTTGTTTTGTGCTTCACACTCTTCGACTTTTCACATCGCAGTTCGAGTTCACATTCACAATATCACAATAAAGGAACGGCGTCTTGCGGTTTTAACAATCCCAAGAATTTATAAAAATTGGGTTATCGTCTTTATCAATTCTGCATAACATTACGAAATATATCTAATCATCACTTATAATTTGGTGACGTATTTAATGACATGACATTTCAAACCCCGCTTATTTAAGGTTATGACGAGCAATTTTGCTCAATTGAATTTCGAATTTCATGCGGGTATTTGCAATTTCTTAAATTATATATAATTTCTTAATAAACAAATACCTACATCATGGCAAACCATAACTTGGAAGATATAGAAAATGTAATTATAAACACTGGGAACATTTTATCCATAAACGATATCACCAAGAAACCAAACCCTAATCCAACTGAAGAGGTAATTATTACATCTTTACATTAAAAGTATATCAATATGTGCGTTTATAATTCTTTGTTTTTCAGCTGGTGGAAGCTATAAATATCACAATAAAAGATTTTCAGAACGGTAGTGCCTTGGATCCGCAACCAGACCATTTACTTGTAATTAACAGAAATGCAGACGATCTGACATCGAAAGTTAACGAACATGAGCTCTCAGAATTAAAAATTGGCTTGAAAATATTTGTAAACAACGACGATCAAAACTTGGTGCAAGAAGCAATTGAAAAAGGTACATTTTATCTTTATTTATATGTGATTCGTCAATGATAGTTTTATTTTCAGCTTTCCTGACGATAAAAGTAAATAGTGTAGACGACGTGATTATATCTTTCACGCAGAAGCAAGCGGAAGATAAGAAAGACGATTTGAATCAAATCCAAAATGTCTGGAAAATATTGGAGGGTTTTGTACAAAGCCAGAAAATTAAACAATTGGGAATAGCGGATGTGGAAGAAAACACCTTTCGGGCACTATACGAGTGGGCTGCAGTAAAACCGAGTATTATTCAAATAAATCTAGCAACGTGTTGTGTCGTACCACCGACGCTACAGGCGTTTTGTAAAGAAAACGATTTGAAGTTGCTAACGCACAGTGATAATAACGGTAAGTCACGATGCATTTTAAGTAGGTAGGATGTAATTTTCTGTTATTTTTTTTGTTAGATATCCTGCCAAAAGATTCCATTCAGGATATTTTTGGAAGGCCGTTAACGTTGAAATGGGCTCTAAGATTTGTAATACACGTCAAATGCAGGGGAGTTTTGATTACAAAAGGTTATCTGTTGAATTTAGTTAAGAATTAATACGAAATGTATGTGTTTATACGTTTTTAGAGAAATATTAGTCGCGTTGGATAGAAATTTGCATGAATGTAGTTATTTGAGCTTCTAAAATGTTAATAAATCTTTAAAAAGGGTGAGAATTAGGTGAGTAACACCTATTATTTGTACTTATAAGCATTTATTATTTTGTATTTATTACGAGCAATCAGTATTCCAAAATTATACACCTGTTTTATATTTTTACAATTTTATGTATAAGCACGTCCAGTGATTTTGTTTAAATAAAAATTTTAATTCTATAACGTGACTTTTAACTAACGCATTGTAACCTGATTATAACACAACATTGAAAAAGTATTTAAAATATTCTAAGAGTAATTAAATACTCTTGAGTATTTAAATTACTCAGAAGTATTTAAAATACTCAAAATACCTACCAAAAACAAATGATTTTTACCTATTACAACTGACAACTGGTACATTCTGTAATGTGCCTTGTGTTATTGCTATTCTGTCTACTACCTTTTAGGTCACTATCATCACTAGTCAAGCCGGTAAATCATCAAAATTTAAAATTAATTTCTTTTATCATTAGTGGGCTATTCTAAAACTAATAAAAAATTGAGTGAATTAAATATTCTGTATCTCAGCAATCCAAATTAAAATGATTGTTTCCAAACTCATGTCTAGTTCTTTTTTTAATTTTTGATGATCTCGAAATCGGGCTTACTTTGCACATACAATATATTTTTTTAAGATGGCTTTAGAGTTTCAGATTTAATATTTAACAAAAATACTTTAAATACTAATGAATATTTTCAATATATTTAATATTCAACCTAGGTACTTAAAATACAATTTTAAATACTCTGTAATTTATGTTTAAAATACTTTGCCAAAGAAGTATTTTAAAATACTTTCGTACTAATATTTTGTAATTTGTATTTTAAATATATTTTGCCCAGTTCTGATTCCTCATAGGATTTTGGTGTATGTATATTTGAATGCCGAAGTTACGATGAACAAGGCAGAATTAAAAATGAGAACATAAAATAATTTATATTTATAAATAAATATTTTATTTTAAAAGGTAGTTGAAAATTCTTGAATACAGAATGTGAAAAAGAATTATTCATATATGTTTATTTCAGGTAAGAGTAACTACATAATAATAAATAAATAAATATAAATAAATAAATAAATGTTTATTTAACATGCGGTAAATAAACATTTATTTATTTATTTATATTTATTACAAATTTGTAATTTGCTGTTTTTGAACAAGGGGCATCGTAAGTTACAAATTTCTTTACACCAAAAAAATAATTTGTGTTATTCAAACTAACTCCATTTTATAGAAAATCTACATTAGAATGGAGGAAAGTCTGTTATTTGTGCATTAATTCATATTTAAACAAACTGTGTAATAAAATCTATAAAAATGTATTGCTGGTTGCCTATTTGCTATAGAGCCCTCTTAAAACTTAGTAATATCATTACCTATACAAACAAGAAAGGTATAGTAGGCTATTGTCTACGGAAAAAGGTGACACCACCGTCGAAGACTGTTCTGACCATAAACCTTATTTACTAGGTCAATGGTTCTGCCTCTGAACGATTTAGGCTCCGCCAAAGGCGCTGAATCTGTAATGTTACAAAACAAATGTTTTCTATAATTATTGTGTCATTTCCGTTTACTTCTTTTTTTTTTTGGCGGATATTCGGCGTACTAATTCCAAAATTTTCAGGAGTATTTCAAAATTTAGTCAAATGTCCTTTTACCCTTTTTTAGTAGGCTTAGGCAATTATTTATATGAAATAGATACCTTCATAGTTTTTTTATTTTTATCCAAACTTATTTGCGATTTTAATTATTTTTTCTGGAAAAGTGAATTAATGCGCCATTGACGTGTGGTACATCTTCTAAGTTCGATGAAACAAAGTATGTTGCACTTTTAATTTATAAATGTACGCATTTGAGAGTCCATTTTGAAGAAACAGGCATAAGCTAACCTTAACCACCTTTCACTTGCAAGGAGACGCTGCTGGTCAATTTATTTTATATCCAACATTATTTTTAAACTTCTTAGTGACGCCACTGACTTCACAAGTAGGTAAATGTCACACTGACCAAAAGATGGCGCTGGTTTTGTTTGATTAATAGGGCCATATGTGTAACTAAATAAGAGGGTTTTATTCTGTGTCTTCTGTCGACATCATCGGCAGAGTACCGCCATCTGTAGTTGGTGCAGCAAACGACACACTCGGAAACCACAGACCATAAAATAATTGAGGAAACTGCATTGGAAAACATAATTAGAGTAACCATTAATTCTACTATCTAATAGATGTCGCTGTACCATAGTGGCGGTAAATTTAAAAATTTAAGTGTAACAAAATACACAAAGAATAAAAAGTGTTTCATAAGTAGATCAGAAAACAGCTATTAATAGTTTAAGTTAATCATTGAAATTAACGTGAACCATTAACAGCTGTTCCATGACCCATTACTTATGAAACACTTTAATTATCACTTGGTAAAATGAAAAAGTTAAAGCAGTGATACTTAAATGTGTGACAAATATACAAACTCATTTTGTTATGAATTCGAAAATATTTAAATATCAAAAAATGTACAGAGAGACTTGTAATTATTATTTTTTAAAGAAAACTGGGAATTTTAAAGAATTTGAAAGAATTATTTACCTGCCTTTATGTAAAATGCATTGCACAGTGACTTTACAAAAATTATGGTTAGATACATTTGTTTCTAAGTAATTGGTTTTCATCAGTACGATGTAATATACTACGCTTATAACACTCATGGCAAATAACAATTATAAACATATGCATTTCGGTTTTTTAAAAGGTGGAGGTGGAAAATCATCCTAAATTGAAGATCGGAAGCTCGTACTATGAAAATTCTGTAATGTTACGTTAAACAAATTGTTTTGCTGAATGTTGGATACTATCCGAGGATTCCGAGGTGATATTATTACAATTAATAGATGAACTTGTAGTCGATCCTAAAAATAATGTTGGCACAGCACTTCCTATTACTGTTTTTTAAACATTTTTTATTCAAAATGGTCTTCACAAAAATAATGATGTTTGTCGGAGTAAATTCTGATTTACATAATTTTCGAACTGATTCTATCCACAGTAATTGTCTGTCTTTTGTAATTCTGAAAAAACTTTTATTTCTGTAGAACGTATTACAGATATTCATATAGTAAGAGATGCTTTTGCAATTTGGAGCACAACATTGACGTTTAGTTCTACCAGGTACTCATTTTGGATAAAAAAAAACGAATAAAAAACAGTAAGGCAGTTCAGACGATTGATTCAATAAATCCCTTATTATATTAATCTAAAACAAAACAAATTTATTAATGCATAAAACGCGGCAACCTACCTGAAGTCCTGAAGATAAACTATAACCTCAAACGTCAAACATTCTACGTTGATTGAAAGATTGAAAATACAAATTCGATATGTGGTTGCAGATTTCTGTTTAACAATTTCTATAAAGGACAATGTTTTGCTGCACCAACGTGAGATGGCACCAGTGAATGCACGCTCCGTCCGCCCTATCCAATAAAAGCCTCTTATTTATTTACTCTTATGAATAGGACTAACAATTTTATACGTATTATGACGCTCAGCATCAGGTTTCTGTCGCTCATTCAAATATTTTAACATACATTACTGTGAGGTAGGTATAGGAAAATCAAAACATTTAGTGGTCGTATTTGTTTTGAGCTTTGTTTTATAAAATAATGTTAAATTATTTAAATAACAAATATACTATTTAGATTTAATTGTCAGGGTTCTCTTCTATATCTGTTGTCATAAAATCAGTGCCTACTAACACTTTGTTAATTATTATAATATGGGTGGTACGATAATGTAGATATTTAAAAAATATATTTTTATACCCAAACCGCTCATTTAATCAAAATTCTACAAGAGGCCCAAAAACTTCCAAATGGTATCACCTATCAAATAAAAAATAGTTGTTATTATTGCCCGAAATAGAAAAATGTTATGAACGGATATTATCATCATACATCAATTTTGTAGGAGTTGTAAGTTTTAAAAAACACTCTGAATAACACCAAAATGTGTAGATTGCATTGCAAGCAAACGTCCACACACCAAAAATTATCGAAATCGAATAATACGTATTCGAGTTATTTACAAAATTCAAAAAATTTTCACGAACATTCAGGCCATCTAGCGGCCAAACGAAGCGATTTCGGATATAGGTGAATTAGTCTAAATCTGCCTATTTTGAGTCCGTGAATCTGTGGTCTTCCGTTGTACACGTTATTCTGGGACACCCTGTATAACTATCCTCTGATTGCTCCCTTGTGTTCACCTCAAATTAGGTTTTACCGTTTTATCTACACGTACCGATATAACTTGCCAAAATTTTCGGTCAATTTACAGATCAATAGCGTGGAACATGTTTTAAAACAGAACAAAGCAGTAAAAGGTCGAAAAAATAACTTCTGATTGATACTACCGAATTTTTTCTTGGTCGTGTATTTCATATTGCTGAAGAATATATTATTGCAGACACAAAAAAATTGACAAAAGATTTGTGTCCGCAAAGCAGCCTGCTGCAGCGGCAGGCTGTATATGTATATGTAGATAGTGCGTGGTCAGATGGCATTTTGCAAGTTATGGTCGCGAAAGATCGCATACCGCTCTAAACTCAAAACGGCGGTGCCGACACACAGGGCCGGATTCATTACGGACGTTGGTTTTATAAACTACAATACTACTCTATCAGGTAAATCAGAGTAAGACGTTTGTAAGCAGTCAGGATCCAGGGGGCATTGTGATTTGACAGATTAAACTTTTATCGTTAATATTTATTATAATAGTTTAACAAACTGCCTCTTTTTTAAGACTGAGGGCGTTGACCGTACTGCCCCCTAGCCGCGAACGACCACAACTGTGAACAAGTCAACAAGATGAACTCTGTTGGTGAAAGTAAACAACCCATAGATGGCGCTATTTGTGACTTTCGCTCAATCTATGGGACGTTTGACATCTTTTCACATGTCACCATAAAACGAAATGATGTGGCAAATGTAGACCTGTATTTTATATTTTTTTTGTAAAATCAGTGTTTAACTGGTAATAAAAAAAGTAAAAGTGAGGAAAGAATTTGGCGCACTGTTGTGATGTGTTAGACTGTACTTTAATTACAATATTTGTTAATAAGAAAAACTAAAATCTCGTACCACTATTTACTATAAATTATGAAAAGTGTATCTCGTTTCTGTCG